ATCTTTTTGTTACTCTTCTATGCATTTGTTTTATTCTCTTAGTTTTCAAGGAATATTCTTACTCTTTAACTTTTATGTGAACAGCCATGCAAGGGCATACTCTTATTTGGACCTCCTGGAACTGGGAAGACTATGCTGGCAAAGGCTGTGGCTACTGAAGCTGGTGCAAACTTCATCAATATATCCATGTCAAGCATCACATCAAAGGTCAATTTTGTTGTCCCTTTTAATTAATTTGGTTTTGCTATGGTATCATATCTTATTCAAAATTTATGTATCTATTTTGCTGCAGTGGTTTGGTGAGGGTGAGAAATATGTTAAAGCTGTTTTTTCCCTAGCTAGTAAAATTGCTCCGAGTGTCATATTTGTTGATGAGGTTAGTTATTCATTATCTTCAAGTGGTATTTTCAATTTGGGTTTACGACAATTCATTATAATTTTCCTTCCATCTCTGTTGTGAATAGGTTGATAGCATGTTGGGCAGGAGGGAAAATCCAGGGGAGCATGAAGCCATGCGTAAGATGAAAAATGAATTTATGGTGAACTGGGATGGTTTACGTACAAAAGACACAGAACGGGTTCTTGTACTTGCAGCCACAAATAGGCCTTTTGACCTTGATGAGGCTGTCATTAGAAGGCTGCCACGTAGGTAAAGTATCACTTTGGCTCCCTTGGAGGAAAGAGAAACAGAAAAATGGAAATTATGCCCATTTCGCTTCGTTCCCTTTTTTTTTTTTCAACCAATGCAACCTGTGGGAATTCCATGGTATTCCTACTTTCCTGCTGAGAGTATTTCCCGCTTAGATGATCTTATATTTTTAATAGAAAACTGCAGAGTGAAAAGGCCTTCAATTTCTTTTTTAAAACATATTTTCTTGTAGAGGAAATAGTTGTCAGAATTTATAAGAAAAATTATTTTCCCCTTTTCTTTCGCTTCACTTTTTCAAAGATTACTGTTGCTATGTTTCATTGATAACCCAAATAGATCCTTTGGACTGCAGTCCAACTCTGGCACATAAGCTATACTTGTGCATGTATCACCAGCTTACTCCAGTTTGACTTGTGGTTTGAGACCCATCTACTAATGGTTTGGTACTTTTGGCAGATTGATGGTAAATTTGCCAGATGCTGTAAATAGAGCAAAGATACTAAAGGTTATTCTTGCAAAAGAGGACTTGTCTCCTGATGTCGATTTTGATGCTGTTGCGAGTATGGCAGATGGATATTCTGGGAGTGACCTTAAGGTTACATTGACTACACTTTTCCTAACTTTTGATGAATTTTGCTTTGGAATTTCTTAGGTGACTGCATGTTTACTCTGTTATACTGCAGAATCTATGTGTGACTGCTGCACACCGTCCAATTAAAGAGATTCTGGAAAAGGAAAAAAAGGTAGGTATTCTGGCCAATGAATATGTTGTTTACTTTTTAATATATAAGGATTTGAGCTCTATTTGTGAATTTGACAATGTAATGATGATGACTTCATGAAGTTATGATTATTAACCATAGCTAGATGGAATGAGTTGATCTTTGTGGTAAGAATTGCAATCGTGATGTTTAATGTTGAATTGACCATGTTAGACTGGGTAGATTATTGAAGATCACGCATTCCCTAAACAAAGTACTATTCCTTGGTGTGACTTTTCCAAGTTTATGAATGAAACTAATTCAGAAGGTTAAAGCTTCGAGTGACTGGCTTTCAACCATTATAAAATGGTTGACTGCTAAGATCTAATAATTTTTTTCGTAGATTGATATATTTTGTTCTATACGTACTGTGCTAAATATCAGTTTTTAATCTTTTTAATTTACTAAAATAGAGATGAGAGGTAAAACAAGGATAGTTCTATGGAATCTATGTTCAGAAACAAAAATAAAAAAATAAAAAAAGTAAGAGATCATATCATTATTTGCATATCACCACTATATTTTTAATAGTTTCAACATTGATGGCAGGAACGAGCTGCTGCTCTAGCAGAGGGCAAACCTCCACCACCTCTGAGTGGGAGTGCTGATATACGCCCTTTAAACATGGAGGACTTTAAATATGCTCATGAGCGGGTAATTGAAAAAATAAAAGTAACAAGTAGTTCTCTTATCCTAAGAAAAAAGAAAAAAAAAGTGTATCTAATTAAGCGACTTCATTTTAAATTTTAACAGGTATGTGCCAGTGTATCATCCGAATCTGTAAACATGACTGAGCTGCTTCAATGGAATGAGCTCTATGGCGAGGGTGGTTCAAGAAGAAAGAGGGCCCTCAGCTACTTCATGTGAAGGCTTCTTTGTACAAAAGGTTCTTTTCTTCCAAAATTCTCTGTTCTTCTAAAACCCTGTATGCAAGTAATTTTGCTGTGCTGTAGCCTGTGGGGGTCTAAATGGGGAGCCATTTTGTCTGTAAAATGAAAGTATAGGTTTTTAAGTTATGTTGTTTCTAACTTCTCTGGCTAGCTTGGAGATGGCCGGTATTTCAAGGAAGTGAAACCTTCCAAACTTCTGGCTTGGTTGCACTGCCTTTATTTTGTTCCCCATCTCCTTGATGCCAGCAGGAAGAGCATGTTCTTTTTTTTTTTTTTGGTATTTAAGTAACTTAACACCCCATGAAAAGAAAGAGAGGTGGCTGTGAATATATTTATAGTGTTTTTTCTTTTTGTGTTTTTCAGAATTCATCAATAAGTAATGCTATCATATTTGTTTAATTTTCAAATATATATGATTATCTTATGTCAATGACAATCGCATTGGCGACTGAAATTAGAGGGTTAAATTAGGGATGTTAATCTTACCTAATATAGCATCTGTTTTGTATTTATACTTTACATATATATTTAATAAATAGGTTTTTTATTAAATAATATAAATTATTATTTCAGATTAATTAAAATTAATATATTTTTATTAAAAAAATTATTAATATATATTTATAAAAAATATCTAAATATACAAAAAAAAAGAGAAAATATATTTTTATTTTAAAATTACGGGTATGGGATTACTCTTTAAATATCATCGGGATGGAAATAAAAATAGAAAGATTTAAAATATTCATTGGATATGAGTATAAAGATGAGTATAATATAAAAATTTGAAACAGAAATGTTTTATCTTTTTCATACTCTGACAATCTACATTCTTAGGTTAAACTAAACAAATCCATGAATGCATTTTTGTGGTCAAAATCCCGAAATCATGAATGCTAGAACCAAAGGAAACCCAGAAATATGAGGGAGGCTAAGCAATGTTATCTGGGACTCTGGAACATCCTTCTTTAGGAGAAGTTAGATCGCTTTCTTGTCAAAGTTACCTGAAAAAAAGATGGGAGAGCCTCCTTTGTCATCCCTGCCTTCTCTCTGATGATCATAAATAGTAATGCTGCTTGTAAGTTTGCTTTTACCTGTTGCCAGAACAGGACCCAACATTTCCCTTGTGGCCAAAAAAAAAAAAAAAAGTCGCCTCTTCACTATCTGCAATAAGATTTGTTTGGTTTTTTTTTTTTTTTTTTCTTACGAAAGAAATTACAGAGAGAGAAGGAATTAAAGGTATTTAGATTTCAAATTCAGATTTATTAAATGTTATTATTTAAAGGTGATTATGTAGACAAATTGAGCAAATATTTAAATTTAAAGTTCAAATTTATTGAATGTCATCGATTATATAAATTAACTGTATTAAATTTTTTGTATTCCATATAAGTATGCTTTTTGACTTTATACTTGGAGCACCTTGTTGCACCAAAAAAAAAAAAAAGTCATTGTAGAAATTGAGTCCACTTTTAAGTTCATGAATTAAAGCAGTCAATAGTTATTACCATGCAGAAGATAGGAATCAAAAGGAAAAAGAAAGTAAAGGCCAAGTTTGTTTTGGTCTCCTCTTTTAAAATGATCAGCACGTATTGAAATTAAGACACCGTAGAACTTCAGGCCCGTGTGTTTTCAAAGTCAATAGTGCACGCCGTCTGCCACTACAACTACCCAATACCCTCAAATACCTGCGTTATGGGAACTTATCCGAACAAAATTTATATGAAATTTATAGGTAAATTTCATAAAATTTTTTATTAAAAATAAATAATAAAAAATTTAATAAAAAATTTAATTCAATAGATTGATAGAGTTTAATATAAAAATTAATAATATACAAAAAATTATTAAAAAAATTATTTATAATTTAAATTTGATCGATATTTATTTAATGATAAAAATTTTATTGATATTTTTATTAAAAATATTTATTTAGTAAATATATAAAAAAAATTTCAAATTTTTTCAAATTTTGTATATTTAATTTTTGTGACTAGATCTTTTAATTAATTTATTTACTTATTTTTACTAAAAAATTTTATCAATTTTATTTATGAAACTTCGTGTAAGTCTTTTTCACTTATCGGAGGTCATGCAGTGGAAGGCTGAGACTTGAAACTGATCATTTCGGCCATTGCAGATTCTTCGTTGATGAGTTGGCCCTCCAAGACAGGTGACAGTAAGAGGAACGATTCCGTGACGCACCAGAAAAATACCACCCTTCAAAGCAAAGTGTACAGAAATTGAAGAAAAGAGAAAAGGACAAAAGCATTTTTGGGTTCTAGGCTTTTAGCCAACCCAATGTGGAAAAATAAAATATTATTCCTCAGAAAGAGCTATATCTCAATTTGTTTATCAGTGTTTTTTTATTTCATATTTAATATATATAAAATATAAAAATTATCATATTATAATTTTAAGTAAGTTAAACATAAAAAATTAATATATTTTATTAAATTTATATATAATTTTTATTAAAAATTAAAAATATATAATTTATATATTTTTTATATTATTTTTATATCGTATTATTTGTTGTATTTATGCTACATCATTGCAGTTAAAAAGTAATTAATAAGTTAATATATATATGTATTTATTAGATTTATAATTTTATTTTAAAAATTCATTAATATATACAAAATTTATTCAGAACAAATAAAATTCCTTATATAAAAAAAATTTGTTGATTCCTGTACTTTTGGCCTACTTATATTGAATTTGAAGATGGAAACGCGAGAGACGAGACTTTCTTGAAGCCTGGACTGCGGATTAAGATTATTAATCAGCATCCATTTCCTGTATATCAGGTCGGAAAAAAATTATAAATCTTAAAACAATTACGTGAACCCTAAATTTGAATTCGCATCCATTTTCACAAGCTGGAAGCTAATAAAATTTCAAAAAGAATGAATTATCTATTTAACTGGCAAAAAATCATAAGTAATTACAAGAATATAGTGAAATGAATGACGATGAGTCCAAAGAACAAATGAATCAACAGAGACAAAGCAATGAAAAGGGTACAAAGGAAACAGCGATGGCCAATGGATCATTACTGCATCATTACTCTGAATTCCTCAAAGCTGAGAACCCCATCTCCATTGAGATCAAATTGGTTGATCATCACCTTACATTCATCAACTGACTTTGACTCCCCAAGTTTGCTGAGCATTTTCTTGAGTCCTTTGGGTGTGATGAACCCTAATCCATCTGCATCATACATCCCAAAAGCTTCTCTCAAATCCTTCAGCTTTTCTTCTTCTCCACCTTCCTCCATCAACTCTATTAGATCCTCCAAATCCAACAACCCATCCCCATTCGAGTCCAAGGCTTCCACTGCATCTTCTGCTTCATTTAACAGCAACTCACTACCCATCTGCCCCAGTCTATGGCTCAACTCAGACGCTGAAATTTTCCCATCTCCATTTTTGTCGAAATACCGGAAAACTCGTTCATATTCTTCACTTCTCATCATATTTCACAATGCAAATCGAACAGGCAACCTCAACAAACAATACTGTCAGAAAAAAACCAGCTTCTGATATGTAGTTTTGGATTCAAACTGTGTTATAAGAAACAAGAACAAAGAAAGAAGCTAAAGCTTGGGGGATAACTGGATTTGCATAAATGGTTAGTCGAAACCAATTTTATATAGAGATCAAGGTTTCAACGTGGTGGTCAAGGCCGTGTCTGTCCCTTGTGTGCCAGTCTTGAACCGACTTATCTATGATGTTATGAAGAAAGTGCTGTGAATTTTCGAAACTTTAAAAAAAAGTGTTCAACACGAAGAAGAAGAAGAAGATGGAAAAAATGGGAACTACCTTGAATCATCGTTTTATGATGAGTTTTCATGTAAAATGAATCCCAAAAGGAAACCGGGGACGAAATAGAGACCGTACAGATGAGTTCAAATGTATATAGAAAACTATTGGCTTAACTGTCAAAACGAACTTTAATTTCCTTTGTTTTCAACCAAAAAAATATTATAAATAAATGGAGAAAAAAAAAGGCAATTTAATTATAGTTAAAACTATCATCTAAAATTCGATTACGATAATAAGATAAAATTTACATGAAATTTTTAAGTGAAGTTTGTGAATTTTTTTAAATGATTTAATAAAAATTTTAATAAAAAATTTTGATAGATTAATAGAGTTCAAATATCAATAATATTTAAAAATATTATTTATAATTTAAATTTGATTGATATTTATTCGTAAGTAAAAATTTTGTTAATATTTTTATTAAAAATATTTATTTAATAAATATATCAAAATTTATTAAAAATTTATTAAATTTTATACGTTTGATTTATGTAATAAAATTTTTTAATTTATCAATTTTAATTTTTAATTATTCATTTTTAATAAAAAATTTTAATAAAAATCACAAATAAATTTAGCAAAATAATTTTTTTATATTAAAATAAATTATGATAAATAATTTTTATATAAAATATAATATTAAAACATAAATTATTAATGTTTTATATAATATAAACATACAAATTATTACATTTAATTACAGTAAATGTTGGAATATGGGAATTGCGTGTATTTGGTTGGTCAAACGTCATCAGGTGCGTTTGGTTATTCACAAATATAAATTGCAAGTGGGGGGATGAAATGAGAATATTCTTTATTAGTTATTACCAAATCCGTATTTAAATTCAATGGTGGCTTTATTAGTTATTCCTAATTCTACAAGATAGTATACCGATAAATTATTAAAAGACGAAAATGGGTATATATTATAAAAAAATTTAAACTCAAAATTTAATTTAATTAATTAATTATTTTTAAAAATTAATATTAAACATATTTAAATTTTAAATTTTAATATTTATAATTTTTTATTATCATATTAGGATTTTTTTTATACCGAAAAAAATCAGAATTTGAAGTCAAATTTTTTTTTTAAATTATTATGATCAAAGTTATTAGGCTGATGTAAGATTGAAGAGGTTTTATTTGCCTAAAAAACATTATACTCGTTGTTATGGGACGCCATACCAGCATAATCCAATGAAGAAAATAATGTAAAATTAAAAGGAAATAAGAAGGGCAAGCGGTGGGATTGAGATAAATTTAATAATTTGTGTTATTGTATTATATAAAATATCAGAGTTAATAGTCCAATTCGCTCTCAAAGGTTTCGATCGGATCTAACCTTATGGGGTTAATTTTTTTTTTAAATCGAATTTTTAGTTGGATCGAGTCGGATAATGTTAATAAAAAATCAGGATCGAATTGAATTCGGATTTTAGGTAAACCTGACATGATATTATATAAAATTATTTTTTAATTAATTAATTTTTTATTTATATAATTATATATTTATATTTTAAAAAATAATATTTTATATTTAAAAAATAATATTTTATTAATTTCAGGATGTGGTCGGATCGAGTACGATTTATAAAATATCGCGTCAAGTCGGGATCGGATATGAAAAAAATAAAAAATTTTTCAGATTGAGTCAAGTTAGGATTTTATGAATATAAAATTGAGTTGGGTTTGTAACAAGCAAAAACTTGTCTCTATCCGTTAACCTTATAAAATATTATATTTATATCATATTTTATATAAAAATTATATATTATAATTTGTATTGATATAAAAATATAAATAATAATTTTTTGATTTTATTAAACATATTTATGATTTTTACAAAATTATAAATTATATTTTCATATTTTTTATTTATATTATTTTTTTTTAATCTTTTTATCGTGTATGTTTTAAATTATCGCATCTAAATTATGATGAAACGGTTTCCTAGATAACATGAGCCAAAGCTCCTAATCTAACGTTATCTAATTGGGTCAAACTGAAAGCCTATTGGTTTTGGGATGGGTTAGAAAAAATTCTGAAAATATAATTATATAATTAATATTAGATAAATTATCAAATACATTTACAATGTAATTTTTAAATTTTATAAGTAAAATTTAATCGGATAATGCATATCTTAAAATATATTAAAAAATAAGATATATTTTAATTTTTTAATCCGATTTGTTTAGTCTTCCCAACGCACCAAAAATGGTGTTGAAACCCTGCAGAAAGAATGAAGATTCAACGATCTTAATCAAAGTCCTAACATTTTTTCCTTCCATTTTCTTTCATCTTTTCTACCACAGCTTCACCAAAGAGAGAGAGAGGGGGGGGGGGGCAATGGGAGAGAAAGCTATGTTTTACAAAATTTTTTTTTATTTTTGTATTAAAACAAATTATGATAAATAATTTTTATATAAAATATAATATTAAAACATAAATTATTAATATTTTATATAATATAAATATACAAATTATTACATTTAATTACGGTAAATGTTGGAATATGGGAATTGCGTGTATTTGGTTGGTCAAACGTCATCAGGTGCGTTTGGTTATTCACAAATATAAATTGCAAGTTGGGGGGATGAAAATGAGAATATTCTTTATTAGTTATTACCAATCCGTATTTAAATTCAATGGTGGCTTTATTTTTTTATTATATGAACAATAATGATTCCTAATTCTACAAGATAGTATACCGATAAATTATTAAAAGACGAAAATGGGTATATATTATAAAAAATTTAAATTCAAAAATTTAATTTAATTAATTAATTAATTTTAAAAATTAATATTAAACATATTTAAAATTTAAAAATTAAAATTAAAATTTAAAATTTAAAATTTAAAATTTTTATTATCATATTAGGATTTTTTTTATACCGAAAAAAATCAGAATTTGAAGTCAAAATTTTTTTTAAATTATTATGATCAAAGTTATTAGGTTGATGTAAGATTGAAGAGGTTTTATTTGCCTAAAAAACATTATATTCGTTGTTATGGGACGCCATACCAGCATAATCCAACGAAGAAAATAATGTAAAATTAAAAGGAAATAAGAAGGGCAAGCGGTGGGATTGAGATAAATTTAATAATTTGTGTTATTGTATCATATAAAATATCAAAGTTGATAATCCAATCTACTCTCAAAGATTTCGATTGGATCCGATCTCGCAGTACTTTTTTTTAAAATCGAATTTTTGGTCGGATAGAGTAGGGTAATATTAATAAAAAATCGAGATCGAATCGGGTTTGAATTTTAGGTAAACTTGACATTATATTATATAAATTTTATTTTTTAATTAATTAATTTTTTATTTATATAATTATATATTTATATTTTTAAAAAATAATATTTTATTAATTTTGGGTAAGATCGGATTGAATACGATTTATACAATATCGCGTCAAGACGAGATCGGATATGAAAAAAATAAAAAAATAAAAAATTTTTCAAATCAGATCAAGTTAGGATTTTATGAATATAAAATTGAGTTGAGTTTGTGACGAGCAAAAACCTACCTCGTCTGTTATCAATCTTATAAAATATTATATTTATATCGTATTTTATACAATAATTATATATTATAATTTATATTGATATAAAAATATAAATAATAATTTTTTAATTTTATTAAACATGTTTATGATTTTTATAGAATTATAAATTATATTTTCGTATTTTTTATTCATATTATTTTTTTATCCTATATATTTTAAATTATCATGTCTAAATTACGGCGAAACGGTTGGGGCCAAAGCCCCTAATCTACCGATATCTAATTGGGACAAACTGAAAGCCTGATGGTTTTGGGATGGTTTAGAAAAAATTCTGAAAATATATTTATATAATTAATATCAGATAAATTATCAAATACATTTACAATGTAATTTTTAGATTTTATAAGTAAAATTTAATTGGATAATGCATATCTTAAAATATATTAAAAAATAAGATATTTTTTAATCCGATTTGTTTAGTCTTCCCAACGCACCAAAAATGGTGGTGAAACCCTGCAGAAAGAATGAAGATTCAACGATCTTAATCAAAGTTCTAACATTTTTTCCTTCCATTTTCTTTCGTCTTTTCTACCACAGCTTCACCCAAGAGAAGAGGGGGGGGGGGGGGGGGGGCAATGGAAGAGAAAGCTATGTTTTACAAAAATATAGAAGTAGGAGGTGTCCGTTCGATTAATTTTAAATTATTTTATTTTATTTTTATTAATAAAATTAAAATTTTAAATTATAAAAATTAATTGATCAAAATTAATTCATTTAATTCAATTAATTTTTTGATTAATCTAATAATAAAATATATTAAGTTAAATTATATTTTAAATTTTTTATATTTAAAATGAATTAAATAAAATCATCCAACAAAAATTTTAAATATCAAAATATTAAGTTAAAATTTTTAATAACTTAAAATGAAATAGGTAATTTTATATATTTTTAGTCATATATATAAGTTTTAATATATTTCGAAAAAAATTTAGTTAATTTGATTAATTTAATTTTTAAATTAAATTAACTGAAAATTAAATTTTTTTAAAAAATATTTTTAATAATCAATTAAATTTTATTTCATAACAAAATAATTAATTCAATTAAATTAATTCAATTAAAATCGAATTAAGAGAGCCTCTCAAAAGATCTTAGCAAAAGAATGAAGCCCTTTGTATTTTTACCCAAATGCTAAAAAAAATTAAATTTACAAATGCATAATGGGGAATAAGAAAAATAGAAAAGCGGAAAAGAAAACCACCACGCGCCACCTTGTTTTAAATTCCACGTGAAGCACACGTGCCATCAGTAGAAGCTGATAATTTAGCCGCATGTGTGGGGCCTTTTGGGGCAGCTTTTTTGAAGCTAAGCTCTGACACATTGCTATCCAATACAAAAACGCAACGTCTTTTGCCACTGCTCTTATAACCTAAAACCCTAGCGTCACTCCCCTTGTTCGTCCGCGTTCAGCTCGGAATCAGGCAGAGAAGAAGAAAATGGCTCAGCTTAAGGCCATATCGCCAACTTCGTCGATTAATCTCGCTTGTTACGGCCCCAAAACAAGTAAATTTTTCTCTTCCCAAATTCATGCATTGCAAACTCTCTGATTATCGCTTCATTTTTTGCTCAATTTTATCCCATTTGATTATGTGATCTGTCGAAGATTACGGTTCTATGTGGGAAACTGATGTATAAAATTTTTTTAGCGTCAGTGATTTATGTAATCTAGCTGGTATTAGCAGATCTGGAAGGGTAACTAAGTAATTTCACTTAACGAAAATTTGTAGAAAGAGTAATTCAAAAAAATTTGAAAAAAAAAATGTGAAGAGTAAAAAGTGAGGTGTATTTAGAAGTTCATTTTTTTTCTTTATCTTATGCTGCGAATTTTGTAAAAAAAGCTTTTTTTTTTTTTTTTAAAGGTTGTTACCTGTGTTTTATGATAGAATTTTTGGTATTTTTGAATGATTTTATGGGCTGATGTGCTATTCAAATTCTTGCATTTGCAGACACATTGTTCTGTCCTGATAACTTGTCTTGCTCTAGAAAGTTGTCTTCTGTCCAAGAGGTATTTGTACTAAAATGATATTATCAAATTTTTGTTTTTAAAACCATTTTCTCTTGGCTTCTCTCTGTGTTGGTAATTTTCATGGTGTTATTATGCTTAATGTTTATAATTTTCTCTTACAGTTTGCTATTCCAAAATGTTTTTTTTTTTTTGAAATGTCATTGACAGTTAAGTGGAAGGGCAATTTCACTCCATGGCCATGCAATTGTAAGCAACAATGGGTCTATCATTCGAGCACCTAATAGTCAAGGTAAGGGAAAACATTGCTTGGTTGTTGACGTTTTCAGTAATGTAGAGATTACCCGTTTCTTCTTTTAGGTTTTGTATATTGCTACTGCTCATTTTGTTAGTCCTATCCACAGGAAACATATTTTGAATAACTGGAAAAAGAAAGGGATTTCTTGGTGGAAAACCAGGAAAACACTTGAGTTAACTGAAGAAGTACTTTTCATAGTTAAAACTAGGACTCACTCAATGAGAAATGAGAAAATGGAAAACTAGAAGTATATTGGCTTTTGTCTAGATTGATCGATCAATTGGGATCTATAAAATGTGAAATCATATCACATAAAGGATATAAAACGTGAAGATGCCTGCTAGCAAAGTAAGTAAAGTCCTTTGGTGATTGTAGTTGTATAACAAAGGCTTGGATGCTTAGCGGAGATCAGACAATACATTTATTGCACATAATATGTGTTGACTTCCTATTTACTCCTTTATAAGTGTTTTAAATTTTATATGGTAAATATTATTCATGTTAACAGTTACAGTTTGCTATGGCACATATTATGACCCTTATTTCCTTCATTTCCATAGTTTTGCCAATTCTAACTAGAATTCTATATTATTGTTTATTACTTTATTTAACTTTACCACAAGTATAGTGAGACAGCAAGCAGAAAATCTTAAAATAATTTCTTCCATTTTGTTCTCTCTATAAGCCGCTCTTGTTGGATAATTCATCTTGTATATCCACTTCATCACCCATTTATGATAGGAATCTTCTGAGCTGTTTCAATTACATCTGCATTTTCATTGCAAACTTCCAGGTATTCGAGCTGTTTTGTCCAGCGATAGAGAGATGAAAGTTTCCACAGCTACAAAGGGTGGAGGGCTGCGAGGCAAATTAAACAAAGTTGTTTTAGCCTATAGTGGTGGCTTAGACACTTCTGTTATTGTGCCATGGCTGAGGTAGTTCTATTGTTTTATGCTATACATGCAATACTTTTCATTTTTTTGATCAAAAGAATTTGCACACTTCTGTCATAATTCTTGAAGCATCTATCTTTGAATGAGTAGCTCTATTTCATTTAGGTGATGGTTAAACTAGAATTGGCTTTTTTACTTTTAGTTTTCCTTGATCCTTTTTTTTCCTTTTAATAATGACTATATGATTCATTTCACCGATTTAAGTATTTTGCTTTTTCAGGGAGAATTATGATTGTGAGGTTGTTTGCTTCACAGCTGATGTTGGCCAAGTAAGTGACAGTGACAAGTTTGCTAAACAGTTTAATTTACTTTATGTTCTTGTATAATGTGGTTTAAGTTTATAATACCATTCTATTATGTGCACACTTTATACCCCATTTCAAACTTTTGCAGGGCACAAAGGAATTGGAAGGTTTGGAAGAAAAGGCGAAGGCAAGCGGGGCTTGCCAGTTAGTAGTGAAGGACTTAAAGGAGGAATTTGTGAGAGACTATATATTTCCTTGCTTGAGAGCTGGTGCTATTTACGAACGGAAATACTTGTTGGGGACCTCAATGGCCCGGCCTGTTATTGCAAAGGTTACTACCTATTTTGGAATTTGTTAGGTTTTGCTAGTTCTACATTCTGTCAAGTATAACTTAATAAAAAGTTCTTATTGAAGCCTACATTGCATGCTACCTCAGTATTGCACTTTTACTTTATCTGCTTTCTTTTGGAATCCTATTTTACCTTTTTACTTTTGAATGCGATTAAGTTTTGTTATTGAGGGAATAGAATAGGTGTTAGCCACTTCAACCTCTTCTTCCATTGACTAAATTATTATGATATAATGATAGATGATGCACGGATCCCTGTTTAATAGAAGCTTCTTGTTGCTTAACACTTTAACTGCTTTTCCTTTTATGTTGGCTCCATTTTCTGCGATTTTTTTTCGTACCTCTTGTAGTTATGTACTTATTATGACAGGCCATGGTGGATGTTGCCAGAGAGGTTGGGGCAGACGCTGTTTCTCATGGATGCACAGGGAAAGGAAATGATCAGGCATGCCTCTCCACCAAGCTTTAGTTATTATGACTCTTCTATTTCATCAAACGCAACTTCACTAGCATATTTATTCCTCCAGGTTCGCTTTGAGCTCACATTCTTTGCTCTAAATCCTGAATTAAATGTTGTGGCTCCTTGGAGAGAATGGGATATTACAGGGAGAGAAGATGCTATTGAATATGCTAAGAAGCATAATGTGCCTGTTCCAGTAACTAAGAAATCAATATACAGTAGGGACAGGAACTTATGGCACTTAAGCCATGAGGTAAGAAACTAAGAATTACTCGTCTCTTTTTCTTGGAAGTGCTTCAATCTTTTGTATAAGCCCCTTTGCTTTAGTTAACATGATCATGTTTGCCTCTCTCTCTGACATCAATCTATCTTTGCAATGAAGGGAGATATCTTGGAGGATCCAGCAAATGAACCAAAGAAAGATATGTACATGATGAGTGTTGACCCAGAAAATGCACCTGACCAACCTGAGTATGTTTACCTGCCCCTTAATGGTTTTCATGTGTTTTGTATGCCAACGAACAACCTTTTATGCTCACAATTCCTGCAGATACGTGGAAATTGGAATTGTTTCAGGTATCCCTGTTTCACTTAATGGAAAGAATCTTTCACCAGCTTCTCTTCTTCTTGAACTCAATGAGATTGGTGGGAGACATGGAGTTGGTCGAATTGACATGGTTGAAAACCGGCTTGTTGGTATGAAAAGCCGTGGAGTCTATGAAACTCCTGGTGGTACCATCCTATTCAACGCTGTTCGTGAACTGGAGACTCTAACCCTTGACCGGGAAACCATTCAAGTTAAAGATTCACTTGCCCTCAAGTATGCTGAGCTAGTTTATGCGGGAAGGTGGTTCGACCCACTTCGTGAGTCCATGGATGCATTTATGGAGAAGATTACTGAATCCACCACTGGTTCTGTCACTCTGAAGCTATACAAAGGATCAGTTTCTGTAACAGGTCGGACCAGCCCCTATAGCTTATACAGGGAGGATATCTCCTCTTTTGAGAGTGGGAACATATATAATCAAGCTGATGCTGCTGGATTTATTAGACTGTATGGTCTTCCAATGAGGGTTAGGGCAATGCTTGAGAAGGGCATCTGAGGTTTTTTTTTTTTTTTTTTCATCAACATCTGGAATTTCAAGGCTTGGTTTTCCTCATGTATTTTTGTGGATCCGTTGAAATCGTTTGGTCAATTTTGCTTGCTCTTCGTTTTATCTAATTTGTTTTCTTACTAGTTTATCTTGTTTTATTTCAACATATCACTCCAAATAAGATCAAAACCCAAATTTGTAACTTCAACAACAATTTCACTGGATCTATCAGCCCTTGTTAGCTTGATATAGGCTATTGTTTTTGCGATAGCATTTTACTTATAATTTTTTATTATAATCTTATAATTGTTTAATTATAGTAAATTCATAAAAAAACTATGTAGAAGTTAACACCAGAGGGTTCATAATTCGATTTTAATTGAATTAATTTAATTCAATTAATTAATTGATTATCGAATTAATTTTGATTGGTTAACGAAAATAATTTTAAAAGAATTTTAGTTTTCAATTAATTTAATTCAAAAATTAAATCAATTGAAATTTTAATCAAAATATAAAAAAATTCAAATATAAAATGAAAAATATATGAAATGAATCATTTTATTTTATAAATTACTAAAATTTTTAATATAATATTTTGATATTTAAATGTTTTATTAGATAGTTTAATTTAATTTATTTAAAATATAAAAAATTTAAAATTTAAAATATAATTTAACTTAAATATATTTATTATTCAATTAATCAAAAAATTTAACTGAATTTGATTGATTAATTTTCAAATAAATTTAATTTAATTAATGAAAATAAAATAATATAATTAAGTTAATTCAATTTTAAAAAATTCATTCAAAATTAACCAAATGAATACTTTTACCACTGAAGATCATAAATGGTCACAATGTCTTTGTCCTTGCAGTCGAAACTCTAAAGTGAAACCCAAATAAAAACTCATAATATACAAAAGCCCAAAAACAAAGTAAAACCTAATAACAAATCCAAAAATAAACCCCAGAAGGACTCCATTGAACAAATCAAAACAGCAGGGACTAATTCGATATTTTGGTAAAAGAATTGCAGGGGCAATATAATAAAAGGCTTGAAAGCCTTAAACCCTAGTCACCCTCATTTCCCAAACCACAGACACCACCGAACAACTAGAACCCACCCACCCAAAGACACAGCCTTTTCAATAAACTTGATTGTTTTGAAGCTAACAAAGCTTTTGCTTTTCTGTGGGTGGGTTTTTGGAGCCTTTCGTCAATGGCTCTTTACTTGTTGTTCGAGTCATCTTCTGGATATGCACTGTTCCTGGCTCAGGGGCTCGATGAAATCGGTCAGAACACAGAGGCTGTTAAGAACTCGGTTGCGGATCTGAACCGGTTCGGTAAGGTGGTCCAACTCACTGCTTTTCAGCCTTTTGAATCCGCTCTTGATGGTCTAAAACAATGCAACTCCGTTTCTGAAGGTATTAAAAGGTTTAACCTTTGTCATTGGTTTGTTTTAGTTTTTTAAGCTTCTGGGTTTGTTTTGCCTTTGTCGTTGGTAATATTGCTTTGGTTATTTGGCTTTTCTAGATATATATTTGTCTTCCTTTGGCTGCTGTATAGTTCTAGGTTCATCTTGAAGTTTTATGTGTAACAAGCTCTTCAAAGTACTAGTTAAAGGAAGACACCATGGTTGAATTAGTAACTGTGTATGTTCATTTGAAGATGAGATTGCTTGCTGTTCAGGCTGGTTTGACTGTTGGGTTATGTCCGGTTTGATTGTCAGGGCTTATGACTGATGAGTTGAGGAGTTTTTTAGAGCTGAATCTTCCTAAAGTCAAGGAAGGCAAGAAGTCCAAGTTCAGTCTCGGAGTTGCCGAGCCTAAGCTTGGTTCCCACATCTCTGAGACAACTAAAATGACTTGTCAGAGTGGAGAGTTTGTTCTTGAGCTCCTTCGTGGTGTGCGGTTGCATTTTGATAAGTTTATCAAGGACCTAAAGGTTTGCATATTTCTTTATGTTTTACCTTTATTTTCTCTTTCAAGAAGACCGCTATAAGTGTGTTTGTTTTCTCATTTGCTTTCCCTTCTCTTCGTGTCTCTTCTAAAACTTCGTAGCCTGGGGACTTGGAAAAAGCTCAGCTTGGTCTGGCACATAGTTACAGCAGAGCAAAGGTTAAGTTCAATGTCAACCGAGTTGACAATATGGTTATTCAAGCAATTTTCCTTCTTGATACTCTTGACAAGGATATCAATTCCTTTTCCATGAGAGTGAGGTTTGTTAGTACTTTACCCTAAAACTAGCATCTTTTTGGTTTAATGCATGACCATAACTAGTACACTTGTTATTCACAGGCATGGATTTTATTTAACAATTATCCTCTGGTTGATTACTTCCTGCAGGGAATGGTACTCTTGGCATTTCCCTGAGTTGGTAAAGATTGTCAACGATAATTATCTCTATGCTAGAGTTGCAAAGCTTATAGAGGACAAGTCAAAATTGTCTGAAGAACACTTCCCTGCCTTAACTGAGATACTTGGAGATGAGGACAAAGCAAAAGAAATTGTAGAAGCTGGCAAAGCATCAATGGGTAGATCTCTTGTATTTATTACCACAATTTAACTTTTTTTTTTCTCATACTTGTATTCACTGGTTTTTTTTCTCCTCCTTTGCAGGACAGGATTTGACCCCAGTTGATTTGATTAATGTTCAGCTATTTGCTCAGAGGGTAATGGATCTTGCTGAGTACAGAAAGAATCTTTATGATTATCTAGTGACTAAGATGAATGACATTGCACCAAATTTGGCATCATTGATTGGGGAAGTTGTTGGTGCCCGGTTGATTTCTCATGCTGGTAGTCTTACAAATTTGGCAAAGTGCCCCTCTTCCACTCTTCAGATTCTTGGTGCAGAGAAGGCCCTCTTCAGGTATTTTACTTCTCATCTTATCTTATATTCTTATGACATGGTGGAGTTGTGAAATGTATGGAGAGCTAGACTTCATGTTAATATTTAGGCCCTCGCAGAACCTTGATTTGTGTCTTGCTCGAGATCTTGAGTACTAATCCAAATGCATTATTTAAATACTCTTTTTTTGTTGACATGTTTCTTGTCCTTAGTTTTGAGGTATTTGTTTGACTCATTGCTTGCTGGCTTCAGGGCACTGAAAACACGGGGAAACACACCCAAGTATGGTCTAATTTTTCATTCATCTTTCATTGGTCGAGCATCTGCAAGAAACAAAGGCCGAATGGCACGCTATCTTGCAAACAAGTGTTCCATTGCATCTCGCATAGATTGTTTTGCAGGTAATTATTAATTTTCTTTCATCATACACTGTAAGTTTTCCCCATAAGTCAATCAATTCTCTTCTTGTTTTCAGAGAGGGGCACCACTGTTTTTGGGGAGAAACTGCGGGAACAAGTGGAAGAACGACTTGAATTCTATGACAAGGGTGTTGCACCTCGAAAAAACATTGATGTGATGAAGTCTGCAATTGAAACTACTCAGAGTAAAGGTACACGGATCCATGACTCCGTTTCCTTTTTTACAATTTCAAATATTTGGTTTTTTCATTTTAAGAGGATGTTCGGAATGAGAGACGAAAATGCAATCCGATTCATCTGAGGCTTTGATATGTCGTTGAGCTCATCAGTTTCTACTAGGAGTGTGGCATGCTACTGTAATGGGCTTCGGCTATTTAACATCATATGTCCATTTACAAATTTTATCTATTACCATGTCTATTACAGATGTAGAAATGGAAGAAACACAACCAGATGAAGCATCCACAAAGAAAAGCAAGAAAAAGAAATCAAAAACTGAAGAAGCCCCAGCTGCTGCTACAAATAGAGATGCCTCAGAGGATGCTAAGTCAGAGAACAAAAAGAAAAAAGAGAAAAGAAAAATGGAGCAAGAGCTGAGTCAGGAAGAGGAGAAAACAAATGGTGTAAACGGGGATGTTACCGAGCAGGATGGGAAAGCCAAGAAGAAGAAAAAGAAGAGTAAAGATGAAGCAGCTGCAAAGGAAACTAAAAGGAAAAAGAAATTATCCCAAGAGTGAATTTATCAATATTTGCTAAATTTTGTCTAATGCAAGCTCGTAGCTGTAGAAATGGTTATGTCCTTTTTTTTTTTTTAAACTTTGTATTATGAACCAATTTAGGTGCCTGACAAAATTTGACAATTGTTGAACTTTCTTCTATATTTGAAAATGTATTTGTTGTCTTAATTCATAAAAAATTTGGCCTACCTTTTGGTTGAATATGGTATTTGCAGATTATCTACAATGACATGTTTTTGTTTGGTGGGAATTGACTTCCATTCTTCAATATAGAAAAATTAATTGAACAAAAAATAAAAAATAATTTTTCAAATTGCATTTGAATGGTCAAAATGCATCGTTACGTTTCATCAATGATTGAATTTTTGCCATAAAACTTGTTTTTTAAGCATATTCCAACTTCATTTTGGATGGATGGTAAAAATTAAGAATGCAATTGAGTTGATATAAAGAAAAATTTGAATTTAATTTAAAATTTATTGTTTAAAATTTAATTTGAACTCAATTAAATTTTATTTTTTAAGTTTAAATTAGATTTGAAATAAAAATTAAGGTATTCGAGCTCATTCGTTTTAAAAAAATAAATTTAATTCTCATACTCAATTTTAAGTTTAATTATGTGTTTGAATTTAAATTTAAATTGATATATAAAAATAAAATAATAATTTTTTAATCAAATAATAAAAATATATTAAAAATTTAAAATTTAATTAAACTTATGAGCTATTTAAGTCAAATGTTAAAATATTAAATTTGACTCATTTTATAAATTAAATTATTTAAATTTGACTTAATTTAAATTTTATCAATTTCAAACTTAAATAACTTATGATATATCATTCATGTGCTAACAAGAATCATGTCATTATGTTTAATAATATTCGTTGTTTTGGGGATTAAATTTTTACCTCATGGTTTACGTCATTATTTTTATCAAATTAAAAAAAAAACGAATTTATTTTATAAATAAAGAACTGAGAATAAAGTATACTAAAGGGAAGAATAATATTAAAAAAAACAGTATTTATTTAATAAATTAAATTATTTAAATTTAATTTGATAATAATTAAATTAAATTTAAAAATTAATTAAATTAAATTCGTATTGATTCATCATTTTTACTAGTAGTAGGATTTTTTTTTTTATTTTTATGATTAAAATTAAGGAGTGAATAAGTTATTCAATCTTTAAAGTTATGATAAAATGTATTTTATCTGATAATTTAAAATATATGATTATAAATCGTGTATTTAAGATAATTTCAAGTATAAAATTTAAAATTAAAAAAAAAAAAATTTAATCAATTAAATCAATTATTTATAGATATCGTAATAAGAATTTGTTTAATAGTATACGTTGATTTGGGGATTGGATTTTCATCGTCATGGTTCGCGTTACAGTTCTTTTTGAAAATTAAAGAAGAAAACGAATTTATTTTATAAATAAAGAACTAAGAATAAAGTTTACTAAAGAGAAGAATAATTATAGAAAAAGAAAGAAGTAAAAGAAAAAGGGCAAAACAGTAAAAGTCTGAAGCAACCAGGAAAGACCGATGCTTGAGTTCAAAGCATTGGTGGCTCCGAAGGCCGAACCACAAGTAAAGAACCTTAAAAAACCTATTCAATCTCAACTACTTTCTGTCGCTGTGTTCTTGCTTCTGTTAAAACCCAAAAGCCCTTCAAAAAATAGAACAGAGAGATAGAAAATGGCGAGCAGTTCATCGAACTTGGAAGATGTACCCTCCGAATCACTCATGAACGAGCTTCTCCGTCGTTTGAAGTGTGCCACCAAACCCGAGAAGCGCCTCATCCTCATTGGTACAGTTTTTTTTTTTTTTGGTTCTAATCTTTTTGTTTTTGTGCGTTTGGCTTTATATTCTGTTTTGGGTTCGCACTGTTTGGAAATTTTCTATTATTTTAACTCTGCAAGTTTTGGAATTTTATTTTGTTGGGAACCAACATGGAGCTTTCAGATCCGACACTTTGTTGAAGCTGGTTTGTGTCAGATTTTTTTGATTTGTTTTCAACTGAAAATTTTGAACCTTTTTTTTTTACTTTTCAGACAATTTAAATCAATAAATATGTCTGTAAAGGCAAATTGGGGGCATTTGGAAGAATTTCTAATGATTTTTGTTTCTGAAAAAATGGGTCTTTTCCTGAGCAAAGTCTAGATCAATGAGCGGTGGGGTAGTGGGTTTCTTTTTTTTTTTTTTTCCTACTATTACTTGGTAAAGACCATAGATTTTTTTTTTTTTTTGGTATGTTTCATGGTTGTATGGTTTTTGCATAAAGCCTGGTCCATATTTTGGTTTCAACAAAATGAAATGAATTTTCTTGCCAATTTGAATTTATATGTTCCTTCAGCATTCACGTTTTGCCATGCAGAAGAAGTGAATTCTGCATAGATTTTTGAAGAATTTCAATTAATGCTCCTTGTCCATCACCTAATAGGAAATGAGCGTGTCTTTAGAGTTAGAGTTTCATGCACCAATGTCTAGACAATTGCTCAAACCAAATTACACGTCTTATGTCATGGTCCAATCCAACTAGTGAGGTATTGTTTGCTTCAGCCCATCGGCTCCTCTTAGAACCAAGACTGACTTCACTTTTTCTTTTCCTGACTCAATATCGTTTAAACAATCCAACTCTTTGACCTAAAATCAGATTGGATTTGAGCTGCTTGAAAGTAAATAGAAAGATACTAAATTTTGTTTTTTATATTTATTTTCCACTCAAGTGACTTTTGTATCATAATGAAAGTGTATGATTGGTATCAGCATCTCAAACACATGCTGCATTTTATTAGCATTCTTTACATTACTATCAGTACTGTCTATTGTCTAAGGATGACCTGTTTCTAATTACTGGGAAAGCTTATGATTGGCAGGTCCACCTGGATCGGGAAAAGGTACTCAATCACCAATGATTAAGGATGAGTACTGCTTGTGTCACCTGGCCACTGGTGACATGCTAAGAGCTGCTGTTGCTGCTAAAACCCCACTTGGTATCAAGGCCAAGGAGGCTATGGATAAGGTCAAATTCATTTCCACTGCCTGTCTGGATATTTTAATGGTTCTTACTTGGTTGCTATTGACTAATGAGGTATTTTGCGATTGTTTTCAGGGAGAACTTGTTTCTGATGACCTGGTCGTTGGCATAATCGATGAGGCAATGAAGAAACCTTCATGTCAAAAAGGTTTTATTCTTGATGGATTTCCAAGGACTGTAGGCCAAGCACAAAAGGTGTTACCTTCTTTAGAATCTATATGCTCTCACTTCACAGAACCTTGAGTTTCTTAAATTTTTATAGCCATGCTTCTGATTCTGTGTTATTGATCTTTGCTTTGCAGCTTGATGAAATGCTTGAAAAGCAGGGAGTTAAAATTGATAAGGTGCTCGATTTTGCAATTGATGATGGAATCTTGGAGGAGAGGATTACCGGTCGCTGGATCCACCCTGCTAGTGGTAGGACCTACCATACGAAATTTGCTCCTCCTAAAGTTCCTGGTGTTGATGATGTAAGTCGAACATAATAATCCTCATTTTACTTCTGTTTGTCACCTAAATGCAAATTTGGTTGCCTAGGATCTGGGAACAGCCTTTCCACCTTTTTCACCAGTTGAGGAAGTCAAGTGGTAAATTAAGCAATTTATCACAAAACCTTTACTTGCCTTAATTTAATGCTAATTTCTTGGTTCTTTATATATATGCCAATCCAGAAACCTCTATATAAGCTGCATCACCATTTTTTTAAAGAACTAGCTGCAGTTATGTTAACAACCTTGCTTCCTTGTTTATATTCTCTTCTAGGTGACTGGGGAACCTTTGATTCAACGTAAAGATGATACTGCAGCTGTTTTGAGGTCCAGGCTAGACACATTTCACAAGCAAACTGAACCAGTATGCTTTCTGTTTCCTAGCTATTTCTCTGGAAAATGGAGAGATCCAGTCTTTTTCATCTAAATTTTTGTATGTCATTTGGAATTCAAGAGTTACTAGAATAGATGCAAGTAGAGGTGGCAAACGGGTGAGTTCGGGCTAGTCAGGTTACTTTTAGAATTTATGAAAGATGTAACCATTTCAGCATGTTCTTTGAGTTGGGGCCAAGTTCGAGTTCGGGTTTTTTCAAGTTCATATAGTTTTAGGTTTGGGTTATTCAGATTTGGGCCATTTTAGGTTCAGGTTTGGTCAGGTTCGGGTCTTTGACTTTTTGTCAAATTTGGGTTCGTTTTGGGCTTTTCAAATGGGTTTTCGGATTCAGGTTCATTTTGCCACCTCTAGATGCCAGGCCTTTTACTAAAAGGGGAGATAACAGAGTTAGTAGCAAGCCAATTGGGCATGTGGCCTGAATGTTGTGACTTGTGAAAGGGAACTGGATCTAATGGAACATCTCTGTGTTTGTTATAAAATCATAAATGCTTTTCTTTAGCCTTTTATGAACTCCGTGATGTCTAATTAAATACTTTCTGAATTGTAATCAACACTTTTTTGTGTTGTTTGAAATTCAGGTGATCGATTATTATTCCAAGAAGGGAATAGTTGCAAAGCTTCATGCAGAGAAGTCTCCGAAAGAGGTTACGGATGAGGTTCATAAAGTACTTTCATGATGAAATTGCACCAGGGATGAGGTTCAGAAGGTGCTCTACTCATGAATGTTGGTTCAATTAACCTCCAAACAGAAATTATTTTCGAGAATTTCCTGGATTTTTGCTCATTGGTACACATACAGATACTCTGATCCATTATCATGCATTTCTATTTTGGCCCAAATGGCAAGGCTTTTGTCTGTTTTAAGGTTTGCTGATGCTGCTGATTATGTTTAAATAATGATACTATAGATTGACAAACAAATTTTTTTTGGATAGTTTACTTTGAAAGGTGTTGTGTTTTGTCCCTTGCATATCAAAATGTTTAGGCATGCTATTCCCAGCTCTACACTTTTCCATTCTTCTGAAACTTGGGTGGTCGTGACATGAAACCTGGCAGAACATTATTATTGCAGCAGAAAAACATTAGTGTTAAGACATTCAACTCATGGTTCCATGGCATTTTGAGCCAGAACCTAAATATGAGCCGTTTAAAAGTAAATTTTGGTAATTGCACCTCCCCACCAAAGATGGGAGAGGATCTACATGTCAACTGTAATCTTGGTATCAAGATGAGAGAATTCTTGGAAGAAGGCCTTGAAATGCTCGTATGAATGCTTCACATCATCAACAGCACACATTTCTCTTATACTGTGCATTGATAATTGGGGAGCACCTACATCTACTGTACGGATACCCACACCACTTGCCAGAATAGGACCGATAGTTGAGCCACAAGGCATATCATTCCGCACCACAAAGTCCTGCATGTACACAATTTTCTGAAATAATCAGTTCATCAATCTAGCCGTTGTCATAACAGAAATGCATTTCCTTCCAGCACCATCTTCAGATAGAACATGGCGCCACAACATATCCCTTGTGAATCACAAGCAAGTGAAGAATCGATTTGTACAAATCAGCATCGATAATAAGCTTATTTGGTTTCCTTAAAAAGGGTATTTTGAGGACTGGATAAATTTCTTATTTTCAGAAAGCTCTCCTCGTATGCTCAATTTTATTTAAAGAAACAAGATGATTGCCACTGGTTCAATTCCAAAAGATCAAAGGCTCTTTAAGAAGTTACAAACGCTATAAAACAAATGAAATGATGTCTCCTTTCTCACTACAATTTGTACATCAAAGAATTTGTAGCGACTATATGGTTATGGATGGAACTGACCTGAATAGGAAGGTTATGCTTCATTGCTATTTCCCTGAATATGAAAGAAGTGACAGCATTGGTTGCATAACGCTGGTTTGCATTGTGTTTGATAACGAGTCCGCCATGCAACTTAGGCTGATGGTTTTCTTCATGTTTGTCCTGTGGATAACACCATAGAACCACATTGCAACAAAATAAATTATCTGCAAATGGAAGTTATGACTCATTTGCAACAACATACCGTATAATTTGGGTGCAGGGCATGTGCCATGTCAGCAGAAACAAGGAAACTTCTCTGAATTGCTTTTGTTAGCATCTGAAAAGAAAAATGCAGTAAAAAGTCAACAATAATACTGTTTTTTTTAATGAAAACACAATTATTAAGTTTATAGACAAATGGAAGGTGGCTATGCCAATATATGTGCTCAGATATTTGCTAGCTGCGATCAAACGGGAAAATTTTGTATGGCAAGTGACTAGTGTCATCTTAGAAGATGAGCTCAGAAACACAGCAATTGCTTGATTTGGGGAAAAGTTTTTGATACAGGAATAAAGAGAGAAAAGAAATCCAAATTTTTTCTAGGAATTTCAACACAGGCATTATATACACTGGTCAGTATCTTGTTGATACAGAACTTACCGACAACAGCATTCGGAAAATGTACTTGCAAATTTTGAAGCAGATTTATCATGACTGAAAGTGTTTCTTCAGAAACTAAATCATTGCAAATAATTGGAAAGTGGCATTACAGCATGGAAGTTAAATCTTTACAAAATAGTAACATGGTCTTTATTAGTAAGGAACACAAATGATATCATGAATTGCAGGTGCTTCTGATTTTCAATTTTCTATTTTTTAAAAGAACATTATCTGGATGCCATCTTTATTGGTAAATAAAGAGATTTTATGGACTTCACAAACAGTGAACCATACAGAATTCAAGCTAGTCCAGTTCATAAATATTCACCGAACAGTAATCAGACAAGCTAATAGAATAGATGTAAACACCTTAGAATCTGAAGTGAAGGAATTCGTTATTCGTGATAGAGCATCTAACATTGCAGGAGATCCAGCTCCTTGTGCTGAATTAGATCCAACCTCCTCATGATCGAACAATGCCACCATTCTAACACCACTCTCATCTTCGAGGTCACTTTCAGAAGATGTAGCGTTGATCAGTGCCTGGGAAGGAAATTACATGGTAAAACAAAAGAGAATAACCACTGCATATTGACATGAGAAAATTTTTGCATCCCTCTTTAGCTAGCAAGGTGAATTTATACCAAATTGGATGCATTATCGTATCATGAAAGTTCCAGTTGCAAAACATGGGATAGGGCTAAAATGAAGAGAAATTCAAATGTAGTGAGTTACAAAAAGTTGGTTTAGCAATTGAATTTAATTGGATTATATGATTCTAGTAGTTTAACATCCCAAAGGAGATTAGCAAGCTAAGAATATGGTTGTAAATGGCCAAGCCTCATGTTGCAAATAAGCATAAATACACCAAATGGTCACTAGTTCTTAAAACTAAACATATAGCCAAGACAAATGCAATGGCATGTAACAAAGAGAAAATGATGCATACCATCAATTGGTATAAGATTTTCTTATTTACCATAAGAGAAATAATGATCTATTATACCTGGTGAGGAGAGATAGAAATGGGACACCATGATTAACTGATAAGACCAGGGGTACTAAGCATAAATAAATGTATAAGCCAAACAAGTCAAATTTGTTTGCATACCATTTAAATGTCATAAAGTTTCTAATAGTTAATCTACCAAGCAACTAATGCCTCCTAAACCATGAAGGGATCAAGCAAACTATGTGCGTATTATTATTAGGTTTAACATTGCACAATTCCAAATGTTCCCCCATTTGGAAAGAAAAACATGCAAACCACACCTACATATTGCACAGTCAAGAAACTCAATCCTAAACCGCGTCTACATATTGCACAGTCAAGAAATTCAACCATAAACCTATAATTTTACTAACTGGGAAGGAGAAGCAAAAAACTACTCATACCTTCAGAGAGCAAAACGACATACAAAGATTGTCAAGCCTTCCTGAAAAGACAAATTCCTTTGTAGCACCAGCTACTATACTTGGTTGAGTATCACATGCTTGCAATTCAAAATCACATATTTGATCTGGTTGACAGCCAAGCTTATTTGCAATCATCTAGATACAAGAAAAGTAATCAAATCTATTTTTTAAAAATATATTTGCATACTGTAGCTTACTGCACTTAAAAAATTATTAAACCTGCAGCAGAAGTGAGTGATGTCTTGAGCTGCTAGTCATCTTTTCAGCCGGACCATTTTCAGCAACCTCTCTATTTAGCTCAGCCTACGAAAAACAGTCCAATAGATTGAAAAGAGAAAAATGGAAAAGCAAATATTAATCCTGAGGAAAAAAAGACATACAGAACAATTCATGATTTATTCAGTCATTTTTAAAATATGTAATATTTGAGCAAGCTTAAGCTATTCCTTTTTCAATGATTAAACGCTTCTCTAAAAATGGCAAAACAATCATGAATTGTCCAAGCTGAAGAACGAGCGTGTTAGACTTGAACATAATCATATGATTGATGTTATCAAGCTTTTGTTCAAGACTAGCATTCCTAATGTGATTCTGGTTTCCGCAACAATACAAATAAATTACTAAATCTTGCAATAAAGTCGTAGCAAATTGAGAATTACTAGTTTCTGTTCATGAAGTAACATACAACTGAGAAGCAATTATCAAATCACCAAAAGGAGACATAAAAGGCCTTTACCCTTTTCACTGGAATAACGTTTTTAAACTAGTTTTGGTGAGGTTGACACAGGGTTGATGAACTTTACCTTGCAGGAACTGGAATTGATGAATGACATAACTACAATAGGAAAAGATAGCACGCAAGAATTCATGGATCCAAAATTACCTTAATTGATGTTGCCAGGACAGGTAAAAGATGACTCTGTGTGTTCACCTTGAATCCATCATTAACACCTCTACACACGTCATACAAAAACAAAGTAAATTTCTAACTACAACAAAAACAGGGAAAGATAGAGAATTCGAGCTCCTGAATATGCAAAGTGAGTTAAATCCAACAAGGCAGTTATCTAAGCCAATTACAAGTATAAAGTACTTGCAGAATTAATCTAGCAAGGCCACCTGTCTAAGTGAATAGCCAGGGTAGGGACACGCATTATAGGTTCCTCAATTCTAACTAGTTGATGTGAATAGGAAGCAGAACCATCCTTCTCCTCTTTTATCATCACCCTTCCTGCAACTGTCAAGTCGCGATCAAACCATGTATGCCACAAACCACCTCCATATGTTTGCACACCAACCTCCAAATAATTGCCTTTTGTTACCTGATCAATTCCAGGAAGTCATTTTTTTTCAACTATAAAATTGTTGGCATAACATTTTAGTTTAATGATAGAAAAAAACAAATCACCTTGGAAACAGGCTTCAACTTCAGACAAGGGCTATCTGTATGGGCACCAACTATATGGATTCCATTTCCAGCAACATATCTAAGAATAAAAAATATTAGTGGGTAAACAACTAAAACATCATCAAATCACAATAAAAATATAAACTTTCAATCTTTTTATAATGCAATTGACAAAATCCCTCACTCCACCCTACCCCCCTCTCTTTAGTCAGACCAGTGTTCTTCTCAAGTCCATAATAGCCAAAAGTGTCAACTTTATCACAAATTTACTTCCATTTTTACCCTACATTTTCTAGCCAATCCTATAAAACTACAATGTAAATAAATGAGTTAAACCCATACTTTTTACCAATAGCAAAAGCAACAATGGTTGAATGATTCCGGGTGAAAAAGTATCTCTTCCCAGCTTGTAAGTTCCAATCTTCCCTCTCTGATACTTGCTCATACCCAACCTTTTGCAATCGTTTCTTTGCCTCATCTGTGATTAAAACAAAAACCCAACAAAAATTTCTCAATGAAATCCAATAAAAAGAATTTATGTATCAAAATAATAACTTGGTTTGATTGAATGGACTCAAATCAGTTAACTTCCACCAAAAAGAAAGGATAGAAAAAAGATTACCAACGGCGTGAAAAGCAGTAGGAGAAGCGTTTAAGAAGTTGATTAGATCAAACACAACTGGGCTCACTTCAGTTTCTGCCATGCCTCTTCTTTCTCTGGCTTGGATCTTAGCTTACCTTCCGTTTTGTGTCGGCTTTGGTCTTTCAGCATTTCCATTGTTTAAATAAATATAGGATTTTCATATTCTTTTCGTATGTTTTGGGCCATCGCCCAAATAGCCCATCAATGTCCTACTCCTACCTTCATTCGATCTCTCAATTTTTTTGGTCTAATATTCTATTTTTGGGCCAAGGGGCACTTTTGAAATTGTGTCATAATCAAGTTTTTCGCCGGGAAGAGTAACCGTTTGTGCAACTAAAAAGCTACCATCTGTTTCAGGTGCTTCAAATCCTTAGTCTAATAGCTCAGCCATGAAAGTTTTTCCATTTCTTTGCCTGGAATTGTAAAAGAAACTCATCCCAAATCAGGAACTTAATTGCCAAAACACACAATTCATGGAACATCGAGTGAGGAGACTTGCCAGGTTGAAGTGAAAGGAAAAGACAAATGGTTTCCATGGCAAGATCAGGAAGGACGATCAAGAACCCTTTCATGAGTCCAACTCCAAGGTCTTTATGTCAGTTTTTCTCAGTCTCACCACGAACTTCACTCTTTTCTACCGAGAAGACATTACCACCCCTCTCTATCTTCATCCTTTGTTTCCTAGTTTCTTTCACTTTCTTGGGAATTTCCATTGTCAGGTTCTTTCCCAGTTCCCAAGATTCAATCCAATGCTCCATCGTATCTCCAACATCCCCATCTTCATCCCCTTCTTTGTCACCTTCATACTCTCAGATTATCTTGGCAGCTTTACTTTCCGGTATCAACTCTTACAATGACAATGAACCGAGTGTTGGGAGCACAGCGATGGTGCCATTACCAGTTCATGTGGTTCCTGGGAGCTTATCTGATGAAGAAAAGGAGTTCTGGAAGCAGCCAGATGGAAAAGGGTACCAGCCTTGCTTGGATTTCAGTATAGGGTACCGGAAAAGGTCTGCCAAGATTTCAAAGGAGAAAAACAGGTTCTTGGTTGTGGTGGCTGTAGGAGGATTGAATCAGCAGAGGAATCAGATTATTGATGCCGTTGTTATAGCTAGAATTCTTGAAGCAGCGTTGGTTGTGCCAATCTTGCAGATAAACCATATTTGGAAAGATGAAAGGTAATGATCAATCTAATGTAGCAGTACTCGGACGATGAAAAGAGTTACAAATGGAGTTTTATGAATCATTCTATTTTATTGGAAATTTCAGTGAATTTCCAGACATATATGATGTGGAACACTTGAAGAAGACTCTACAAGCTGATGTTCGAGTTGTATCTTCACTGCCCTCCACACATTTGGTGGCGAAACAGACCATTGTAACCCGAATTCCTTACAATGTGCCTCCACTTTGGATCCGTGCTAAATTCTTCAAACAAGTATGGAAAACGACTCTTATCATGTTTGAATTGCCATTGAGATGAATGCAACGTTCCTATAATGCCTGATATTTTGTTCTATTTGCCTGCTTGGATATATAGACTTTACGTGATAAATTATCAAAAGAAGCAACTGGTTGTGAATTTTTTTTTTTCACATAAATTCATCCAGGCTATCATCTAAATCATACAACAGAAGTCCATATATCTTTGACTGTAAATTTCATCTGTTTCCAAACGTTCAGGGACAGATATAGTTTTATCTCATTTTCGAACATTTTTTGTCATTCAGCTCAGTCAAGAAGGTGTTCTTGTACTAAAAGGGTTAGACTCTAAGCTCTCCAAGAATCTTCCCCCTGATCTACAGAAGCTTAGGTGTAAGGTATGTTAAGATTTTTAAAGTCTGATTGCAAAAATGCCATCAATATAGACATACAGTAATTATAATATGATCAAATGAACCTTCCTTTGTTCTTCATTTTATATTGCAGGTAGCCTTCCATGCATTAAGATTTGCCAGGCCAATTCTTCGGCTTGGGAATCAGCTTGCGAGGAGAATGTGGATTGAAGGACCGTATATCGCCCTTCATCTCCGGCCGGAGAAAGATGTGTGGGTCAGAACTGGATGTCTCACTGGTTTAGGCCCTGAATATGACAGAATTATCACCCAGATTCAGAAGTCTCAGCCCCAGTATCTCACTGGAAGAGTGAACATGAGCTATGCTCAACGACGGCTCTCTGGACTGTGCCCCCTAAATGCATTAGAGATGGCAAGGTAAACTAGAAACATAAAACTAGAATATCGAGATTTTGATTATCGACTGCCAAAAATCATGTCTATTGCAGGCTTTTAAAGGGTTTAGGGGCACCAAGAAATGCTCGATTTTACATTGCTGGAGGAGAGCCATTTGGTGGCACCAAAGCTTTGCAGCCACTTACTGCAGAATTTCCAAATTTGGTGACGAAGGAGATGTTGGCAAGCGAAGGAGAACTCTTGCCATTCCTCAACAGCTCCTCTGCTCTATCTGCGCTTGACTACGTAGTCTCGTTCAACAGCGACCTCTTTATACCTTCCCATGGTGGAAACATGGGCCAAGCCTTACAGGTAATTATGTGTTGCATCATTTGAATCTGGCATTTTAGGCATGAAACCAGGCAAACTGATCTCTTATTAATTTCTTTGTTTTTATAATGTTAATATTGACAGGGACACCGTACCTATATGGGCCATAGGAAATGTATAAGGCCAAACAAAAGAACAATGCTTCCTTTCTTTGAAGACCCCTCCATTTCTGATGAAGAATTCAGTATCATTATAAGATCATTGCACGATATATCTATGAAGCCTGAGCCAGAGAAGAAAGAGAAAGACGAAGATGTACTTGCATATCCAGTGCCTGAATGCATGTGTCGACACGGTACAGCTGTTTTCTGAACAGCTCAATGTAGTATAGATTTGATTGTAGAAAATCTGAAAAGCATTTGCTGCTTTTTCTTTACACTAAAATCCTGTATAGCATTTTGTTCATTCTATTTTCATGGTGTCTAACAGTAATTGGCTAAGCCATTCAATCTTTGCTGTTTAGTTAGAGCATGATCCAGTTTCCATCTTGTCCAACGTTATCAAAGAATCCTGAGCATAATGATACCGTTCCATTTGTGTCTTGATCTATCTTTTCCAAGAAATTTAGAAGCAGATTTTTCTTTTCTTAAATACATATATTTAGTAAGTTACATAGTCATTGTTGAAAAATATAGCAACTATTGGAATGGTATTAAGAAAGGAATGTGTAAGAACATGAGGCAAGATCATGTCTATACTCTCTATGATTTTAGGCTCTAACTGAGCTCAGAAGCAATAATGACAGCAGTTTGTGACATAGAGTTTTTTGTCCATCAAAATGTACTCATCATAAATTGCAGAAGTTAATCTACAATTACATACAGCACAATTATATATATTGGAAGGCCGATACAAGGAGCTTACGGATGCTATAAACTAGAAAGCTGAATCCTTTTTCTTCCTCCTCTCTTTTTCTTCACGCGAATATAGTATAAATTTTCTATAACAGTGGTAAACTCGATCTTTGGCATGCTTATTTTCTGTCACCTTGTACAAAATCATGGTACCATTTAGCAGATTTCTTGGGGATGCGCTTGAGGTTCTTGAAATCAACATAGTAAAGTCCATAGCGGATGGTGAAGCCTTCTGACCATTCAAAGTCATCAAATAAACTATAATAGAAATATCCTTTGACATTCATGCCATTGCTGCATAATAGGCAACATAAAGCACATTGGTCAGTTTTCTAAGCTAGTGTGAAGAATATAAAAGAATGAATACATGTGTAAACACAGTAAAAAAGCTCACTTGATTGCCGTGCGGATTTGGAACAAATGTTTCTGAACAAATTCAATTCTATCTTGATCGTTTAGTGCCTGAGGAATTGGAATGCTGTCGTCATTTTTCTCCGTAAAACCTAGACAAAATGGTTATGACGATGTATTAGCAATAACTAAATATAGTGTCTAAGAATTCAACAGAAAGGAAGCAAGGAGGAGCAAAGTTTCCGAACCATTCTCAGTAATGTAGATTGTAAGGTTTTTATTGTAGTGTTCCGTCATAAACTTCAAAAGTTTGTACAGCCCTTGGGGATAAACGTAAATGAAAGCACTCCCTCCAGCATTTGGACCAATAAGAACTCCATCTTTGTCCACTGCCACAACAACACAGCAACATCCTTCAGAGGAATAAAAGCCGGTGTTTATTTCAATAAAGATGAATTTAAGGTTACCTGTGGAATTGACATGTTGATCTACCAAGTAGCTCACTGGTGCAGCTTGTGGATTAATTGGAATGTGCTTAGCATATCTTGAGGTATAGTAGTTGATGCCAATGAAATCAAAAGATCCTTTGACCAGCTCTTTGTCTTTTGCCGTGAAAACTGGTAGCCTGTCCCTCACCAATCTTCTCATGCTTAGTGGGTACTGTCCTAGCAGCAGTGGTTCCATATACCTGGAAGCCATCAGACAAGACAACAATGCATTCAATCACTGGTTTATGTGAGTGTCACTGCCAAGTGGAAAGTGATAAATTACTTGAGAAATTGTTCATAAGAAAGTTATTTTACTAACCATCCCAACTCGAAATCCATGGATCTTTTTGCTGCATTTCTATCAAGCAATGTGTTTGAATAGGGCTCACTATACTGTCCAACAAGGGTCAATCCAATTTGCCCCCCTTGTGCTGCCTGGGCAACAAAATTCAAAGAAGAAGTAAACATGTATATCTATAAAAGCAGATATATGGACCTAAAATACACCGAAAGAGGGCATTCTAAGGCTTAGTCACCTGGTACTTCTCTTTGTAAAGCTTCGCAGCCGCTGCATGGGCAAGAAGAAGGTTATGGCCAGCAATGTAAGGTTCTGTGGCTGCATTACCTGCAGGACATGTTGTTCTATCTGAACATCTGCCTGGCGGAGCCACTCCCATGGTATACCCGAGTTTAGCAATAATTAGCGGTTCATTGATTGTAATCCAATTTTTAACCCGATCTCCAAATGTTTTAAAGCAAATTTCAGCATAGTCCCTGAAATCCTTCCTGAAAAGAGAAAGCACACATTAATGACAGATCACTGACCATGAACCACACTAATTACAAGTTGGATAAAGACATAGACTTAAGGCTCGATTTGGGAGGGTCCAATCATAAAATGCATTCTCTGGTTCGGTGAGAATGCTCCCAGAACGCGCCCTAATGGAGCCTTGGACAGTACTAAATGTTAGAGTGGAACTTACGCGACAGTGTGATTTAAGAAGCCTCCATACTTATTTTCAAGGGCTTCCGGTGAGTCAAAGTGCATTAGTGTCACAAAGGGCTTGATGCCTTCAATTGATGAAACATAAAAAGGAATTAGCCAAAATACCATACAAAAGAACTTCTAAACTTAATTGCAGTAAGCCTCTAATTAATCACCATGTTTAATCAGCTCGTCAATGAGGCTATTGTAGTGGTTGATACCCTCCTGATTTATTCCACCCCTCAAAGTTCCATCTACAGGAGAAAAATTGTAAAGTGGTTAACTATGCTTCTCCTTTTTGTTCACTTTTGAACCAAAAAACAAAGAATTTGATGAAGAAAATATTACCAGGCAAAATCCTGGTCCAGGGGATGGAAAATCTATAAGCGTCTAGTCCAAGGTCCTTCAAAGCCAATGCATCCTCCTGCAAATATATTTACCATTTCTTTAAATGCGAGTATGTTGATAGAGTACTGGATTCTTAGTTCTAGTGATCAGAACCAAATCCTGATAGCCTGAAATACCAAATGAAAACATGAAAGCCTAAGATGAGAGATGTGTTACCTTGTAGCGCTTATATGAATCGATTGCTACCTCCAAGGTACTTTTGTCTATTATTTTCTCTGCATGAAAACCATAAATATTTCAAATGAGAATCCAAATTTTTAGCTGCTATCAAGATTCCAGTAATCTGCTAGTATAATAAACAACAAATAATCATGTTGCCAACCTGGGAATTTTTGAACATATTGGTCCCAAACGCTCGGCCCTTTCCCTCCAGACTTCGTTGATCCTTCAATCTGCACTCAGTTTAATCGCTTGTGTTATCATTATAAGAGGGAAATACTATTACTTGAATCAGTTTAATTGCATCTTATATCATTTGATATTCAGTGACATCAGATTTAGCTCACCTGAGCAGCAGCAGTCGATGCTCCAAAAACAAAATCACTTGGAAAGTTGGATCTCTTGACATTCAAATATTGTGTAGAGTTTGATAAAGCTGAATCTACCTTTTTCTGGGATGCTTGAGTCACTGCATATAGATCAAAATTTTAGCGTGTTAGAGACAAAACAAGCCAAAAAACAAGCACAAACAATAACCATAAGAAAAGCAAGAAAGCTGGACAAACTTTGGCCATGCGCAGACAAGCAGACAAGCAAAACAAAGGCAGAGATTCTGATCAGAATCTGCTGAGAATTCCCAGGTGATGAAATTGGCAACATTCTTGACCTTGTAGCCTCTGCTGCTTCTTTATCACGTATAGAAAAAGATTCAGCTACTTCCTGAAGACAAGATTTGAAGGTGTCTTAGCCTTAGGTTTTAATTTTACGAAGTGAAAATTAAATGTGTAAATATACAAGGATTGCGCCTCTTTCTTATATACAAGAGTATCCACCAAAACCATCTAACAAGAAATCTAATTTAATGTTCATTATTGGCTAAGAATATCAATGTGATAACCCTGAATGAAACAGTATTCCCACTGATCATATGTTCATTATGATCGGTAGGAAAAGATTACTATCTTAGCGTTTTTTTGACATTAGACCTTCAATCTTTTTCATCGACGATCCAAATAAAATCTGAACGTCAATTTTTTGTCAATTTTGTCCCCAAAATAGGCCGTTTTGTTACCTATTATATTCAATTTTTTTCAGTTTCTAGATATACATTAAGGGACAGCTACGAGTTTGCTTCTGGTTAGAATGTTGAAACAAATCCGTTTGAACTAAAAATTTTTAATAAAAAAAAAAAACCAACGCTGTTTTAGTTGATTAATTATTTGATTTTACATCAAAAAATTATTAATTATCTGTTTGTCTTGAGAGAAAGACGATAAAATTTAAGAGATAATATGCCTATAAAATTTGAAGATAGAAAATAATTATTTTTATATTCTAACTAACTTTTTAACTGGTGTCAAGCACGAAAATTTTGAATTATTTTTTATAATTTTAAAAAATTTTAATCTTAATTTTTTTACATTACTTTAATAAAAGACTATGTAAATTTTTATTGATTTATTAAATATAATCATACATTTATAAATGTTAAGATACAACTAAATAAGAGTGTATACATATGGTAATACTCTTTCAAAGTCAAAACTTTTTGTAAAATTTCAAAGAATTATAAAATTTTTTTTCATAAAAAATTATTTTTTCAATTCATTTACTAAACAATGAAAATTTTGCTAGTCGTTTTTTTTTGTTCGATTAAAAAGGCAATGTTCAGTTTTAAATAATAAAGATTTTTATTGTTGGTTTATATGGTTTTTCGAGTGTTAGAGATGTTATTATCTATGCTTTTAGATTCCTCAAATGATGTTGGTAAAATTTCTTTAGGTTTATATTCCTTCTACCTTCTATTATACTCTTAATTGTGGTTGGATATTTATAACAATTTCATTACTTTTAATAAAAATTTACTTTGGCTTATTAAAAAAGAAAATAGTCAAAATTAATAATTATATATATGTTAATATGAATATATAAAAAATATATCATTTTGATTAAATTGTGAAAAACCTTTATACTAGCAAAATATTCATAAATTATTAAATCTTATAAAGCTAAACTAGAAATAAAACATTAAATACTAATAATAATAATAATAATATAATAATAATAATAATAATAATAATAATAATAATATATTTGATTGAACTACAAAGCATAATTATTAATTTGGTCATAACCATTTGCTTTTTATTCCTTATTTTTTTACATATATACATTAATATACATAGTTGTTTTTTATTAGAACATAAACCAAATATACAAATTAAGAATTATATATAATTTAGATCTCTTGTACTTATGCATAACAAATACCAATTTAACTATTTATATAAAAACATAGGAAACAATTTTTTTTTAGAATAAATCAGATTTAAATGTATATATCATATAATGCAGATAAAACCAAATAATAAGTTTAATTGAAAAAACAAACAAATAGAGAAAAAAAAAAAGAAATAGAATATAAAATAAGTAATGAACTATACCTATTAATTAGTTGAAACGAAGCCAAATATGTGCTCACTATTCTTACATTATTGAATCCAAAAAAATAAAATCAATATTATAAAAATAAAATAATAAAAAAAAACAATCCAACACCATCACAAGTTTTTTTTTAAACTAAAAAAATAAAAAAATAAAAAATAAAAGAATAATGAAGGTATAAAATGAATTTACTTATTCATGAATATGATGTAGTTATTGTTCTAATAACAACAAATAAAATAACATTAGTTAGGGGGTGATGCTCCCACTTTATGAGTTTTTTATTTTTATTTTGAGATTTTGATTTTCACAAATAAAAATTTATTAAGTTTACACATACACACACACACACACACACATATATATATATATATATGTATAGCTATTTGTAGAGTTATAATTAAATTTGAAAAGAAAAGAAAAATTATGATTTAGTATATTTAAATTAAAATTTTATGTAAAATTTTTAATTTTTGATAGTGTTTGATTTGAATTTAAATAGTTATCCAAAAATATTAAATTTATATAATTTATTAAATAAAATTATTTGACAAAGATAAAAGTTTATTAAGCCTATATATATATATATATATATATATAAACATATGAACCAATTTTTTTAGAATAAACCAAATGTAAATATATATATATATATATATCATATAATGCAAATAAGGTCTGAAGAAAAAAAATAGAGGAAAAAAATAAAAAAAGAAATAGAGTATGAAAAAAATAATGAATTATACCTATTACCTAATTGAAACCAATCCAAATGTGCAGTTATTTTCCTTTCGTTATTGAAATATAAAAAAAATCAATATTATAAAAAAAATACAACACCATCACAAACTTATTTTTAAAATTAAAAAATAAAACTAAAAGAAATAAAATAATAATAAAGGCACAAAATGAATTTATTTGTTCATGAGTATGATGTGATTATTATTTTTTCCAGCTTTTATCCATTCCTGTTAAAACTCATAAGCCATAATCGTCAAATAAAAAAAAATTGTATTCTTCAATTTCTAAATCTAATAATAACAAATAAAATAACATCGGTTAGAGCGTGAACATCTCACTTAATAAGCTCATTATTTTTGTTTTGAGATTTTAATTTCAGTAAATAAAAATTTATTAAGTTTACACATACATATATATACATATATATGTATATATATGTGTGTGTGTGTGTGTAAAGCAATGATTAAATTTGAAAAGAAAAGATAAATTATGATTTAATATATTTAAATTGAAATTTTATGTAAAACTTTTAATTTTTGATAGAGTTTAATTTGAATTTAAATAGTTACCCAAAAATAAATAATACAATTAAAATATTAAATCATAATAAAAATAAAGTTTTTTTTTTTTTAAAAAATTTTGCTGAAGGCAAGGAATCCTTTGTTCCACAATTGCATAGTTATCATAGACTCATATCTTCTTTTTTAGAAATCTTGGTGAAATTTTTTATGGTTTTGAGATTTTTTTAAAGTAAGATATAAATGAACTTGAAATTAATACTACTGATGAGACTATCCATAAATTATTTTTTAAATTTTTTTTATGAAAAATAATATCTTAATTTGAAATTATGTTATATGTTTCATAATGAGGATATGAGTTGAGAAATTATTCACTCTTTGAATATACAACTGGCATATAAGTTTCTGTTTAAGGCACATAACTCAAATATATCAATTAATTAGAGCATCATTTTTATTTCATATGAATGGAAAATGTTGAATAAATAATCAATTAAAAGATAAAATATATTACCTGATTAAGTGAAGAATTCATAAAAAGCTAAAAAGTCTGCAAACAACACAAATAAAATATAAAAATATATGTGTTTTTGTAGTTTTTTTAAAAAAATTCAGCTTATTTGAAAAAAATATATATTCTACCTGATGAAATGAATAATATGTTTACTAAAATAGTACTTATCATGAGAAAAAGCATGTTAATTCTTATAGCAAGAATAGACTAATAGAAAAAGAGATTGAATTAATAGTAAAAAAAATATGTTTAGCTCATTGGGATATTAAGAAAGCTATATAACTAAGAACTACCAATAATGAAGGCTTTTTTGAAGTTGTTTTGGTATTTATATATATATTTTTCTTTTTTACATTTCTTTTGTGAAATATATTTAAAAGCTGAAAATAATAAAAGTATTATATATAAAAAAATTAAAGATATTAAATAATACTTTTAAAAGTTGTGATAAATTTAAATACTAATATTAACTGTAGATAATTAGATAAGATAAATTACTTTATAATTGATTTTAAATTAAGATGATGTAATGTGTAAGAGAAACTTGATGTATAGAAGAAATTTTTCTAAAGTTGTTTTGGTATTTATATATTTTTTTCACATTTTTTTTTTGAAATATATTTAAAAGCTAAAGATAATGTAAAGATTATTTATAAAAAATATTAAATATATCAAATAATATTTTTAAAAGTTGTGATAAATTTAAATAATCATGTTAACTGTAGATATATTGAAAAAGATAAATGACTTTAAAATTGATTTTCAATTAAGATGAAGTGATATGTAAGAGAAACTTTTTTAAAGTTGTTCAGGTATTTATATATATTTTTTTCATATTTTCCTTGTGAAATATATTTAAAAGCTGAAAATAATATAAGGATTATTTCAAAAAAAAAGATATTAAATAATATTTTTAAAAGTTATGATAAATTTAAATCCTCATATTAACTCAACATAAATTGAAAAAGATAAATTATTTTAAAATTAATTTTAAATTGAGATAAGATGATATACCGGTGAAAAAGATTTCATTAAAATTTAAATTGGTTTTTAATTAAATTTTAAAATTTTAGTTAATTTAATAATTTTTAAAGGATATTTTTTATAAATAATTAAAATTAATAAATATCTTATATGTCATAATAATGAGAAGTTATAAAAATTATATTACATATCGAAAAAAACTATTCACGTAAGCGTCTACGTCAATAATTATTATATGATAACCATGTATGTTGTAATATATATTATATATATTATATATATATATGATTAGAGATTAGATTGTGTATACAAATTAATAAGTATATTTATTATTCTGGGTTCAACTTTATATATAAATTATTTTGATATTTATTTTTTATTATTATTTTTTGTTTAATTTTTTTGTTATCTAATGAAAACCATATGAATTTAATTTTTTTTATCAAAATACATCATTTATTAAAACATGGTAATTCTAACAATTGTAAAATTCTATATAATCAATATTTACACATTCTTACATAGCATGAAAAAGCTTGTACTATGATAAAAAGTAAACTTTATGCCTTGTTCTAGACTTATAAAGCGAGTCCCACACATACATTTATATTTAAATTTGATAAAATCAAATACGATATGATGATACGATATGATAATTATATGAATAAAAGATATGAAAATAATATAATTTAAATTTTAAAAAAATCATAAATAAATTTATTAAAATAAAAAAAATGTATTTCATGTTTTTATATCGACATGAATTGTGACCCGTTATTTTCTTGTAAAACATAATATGAATATACGAATTATCAATATTTTATATGACATGAATACATAAATTGCTAGATCAAACAATGAAAAGCATTTGTTTACTCTAATATACAAATTTTCAGTATTTGATTGTAAAACATCTGAAAAGCATTTGTTGTTTTTTTTTTACACTAAAATCCTGTATAGCATTTTGTTCATTCTATTTTCATGGTGGCTTACAGTGATTGGCTAAGCCATTCAACCTTTGCTGTTTTGTTAGAACATGATCCAGTTTCCATCTTGTCCAACGTTGATCAAAGAATCCTGAGTATAATGATATCATTCCACTTTTGCTTTGATCTATCTTTTCCAAGAAATTTAGAAGCATATTTTTTTTTTCTTATATGTATATATTTAGCAAGTTTGCATAGTCATTGCTGAAAAATATAGCAACTAATGGAATGGTACTCAGAAAGGAAAGTGTAAGAACATGAGGCAATATCATGTCTACAATCTCTATGAAATTTTAGGCTCGAACTGAGCTCAGAAGCAATAATGACAGCAGTTTGTGACACAGAGTTCTTTGTCCATCAACATAAATTGCAGAAGTTAATCTACAATTACATACAGCACAATGATATATACCGGAAGGCCGATACAAGGAGCTTACGGATGCTATCAACCAGAAAGCTGAGTCCTTTTTCTTCCTTCTCTCTTTTTGTTGACGAATGTATGGTATAAATTTGCTATAACCATGGTAAACTCGATCTTTGGCATACTTATTTTTGGTCACCTTGTACAAAATCATGGTACCATTTAGCAGATTTCTTGGGGATGCGCTTGAGGTTCTTGAAATCAACATAATAAAGTCCATAGCGTATGGTGAAGCCTTCTGACCATTCAAAGTCATCAAATAAACTATAATAGAAATATCCTTTGACATTCATGCCATTGCTGCGTAATAGGCAACATAAAGCACATCGGTCAGTTTTCTAAGCTAGTGTGAAGGATATAAAAGAATGAATACATGTGTAAACACAGTAAAAAAGCTCACTTGATTGCCCTGCGGATTTGGTGCAAATGTTTCTGATCAAATTCAATTCTATCTTGATCGTTTAGTGCCTGAGGAATTGGAATGCTGTCGTCATTTTTCTCCGTAAAACCTATACAAAATGGTTATGAAAACGTATTAGCAATAACTAAATATAGTGTATAAGAATTCAACAGAAAGGAAGCAAGGAGGAGCAAAGTTTCCGAACCATTCTCAGTAATGTAGATTGTAAGGTTTTTATTGTAGTGTTCCGTCATAAACTTCAAAAGTTTGTACAGCCCTTGGGGATAAACGTAAATGAAAGCACTCCCTCCAGCATTTGGACCAATAAGAACTCCATCTTTGTCCACTGCCACAACAACACAGCAACATCCTTCAGAGGAATAAAAGCCGGTGTTTATTTCAATAAAGATGAATTTAACGTTACCTGTGGAATTGACATGTTGATCTACCAAGTAGCTCACTGGTGCAGCTTGTGGATTAATTGGAATGTGCTTAGCATATCTTGAGGTATAGTAGTTGATGCCAATGAAATCAAAAGATCCTTTGACCAGCTCTTTGTCTTTTGCCGTGAAAACTGGTAGCCTGTCCTTCACCAATCTTCTCATGCTTAGTGGGTACTGTCCTAGCAGCAGTGGTTCCATAAACCTGGAAGCCACCCACAAGACTGTTGCGCCTGAAGCAATAATCACAATAATACAGAAGCAATAAACAACAATCAATAATCAAATGTGCAGGAAAAATAAAGCACACCAAGATTTACGTGAAAAACCCTCCAGTGTAGAGGGAAAAACCACAGGCCACCAGAAAAATCTTCACTATCAAATAATAGTTATACAAAGTTCTTCTCTAGCTAAAACTAGAGCTAATCAACAACTAGAGAAACAATTGGAGAAATCTCACCAAATAAGTGACTCAACAAATACACCCTGGATTTGTTCCTAGAGAGCTTCAAACCCGATCTTCACCGTTAGAATGTATAACTCTGAATCATAAACCTCCTGACAAGGTTTCAACTCAATCGGACCACGGATCGACTTCCGTTTAACCAACTCTCCCTTCTCTTTTTTCTCTCTCTGCTTTTCTTGGCTTTTCTTCTTTCTCTGCTTGGTTGTCGACACACACCTTGAACAACCCCACCTATTTTTTATTAAGTAGCTAGGGCTCTGTGTAAAATAAAAGATCAAGGCCCATGGCCTTTACTTGGTCCAAAACCACTTACATGGGACTGGACCCCATTTTCCTAACAATCTCCCCTTCCAGTCCCATTAGAAGGAGATTCATCACCATAGCAATTTCATTTGGAACTTACCTTGGCCAGGGAACTCATTCCGGCCAAGTTACTGCAAAGCTCAAGCTTTTCCCTGGGAAGTATCTTAGTCAACATATCTGCCACATTTTTATCAGTATGAACTTTCTTCAATAGCATCTGCTGTTCTTCAATCACTGAACGTAAACAATGATATCTAACATCAATGTGCTTTGTTCTAGCATGGTACATGGTATTCTTACTCAAATCTAAAGCACTCTGGCTATCACAAAATACCACATACTCTTTCTGATTCAACCCCAATTCAAAAAGAAAACGTTTCATCCAAAGCATTTCTTTACATGCTTCAGTTGCTGCAATATACTCAGCTTCTGTAGTTGACAAAGCAACACACTTCTGCAACTTAGACTGCCAAGATACAGCTCCTCCTGCAAAAGTGAACAAATACCCTGAAGTAGATTTCCTACCATCAAGATCGCCTACCATGTCAGCATCAGTAAACCCTTCTAGAATTGGTTGTGAAACTCCATAAGTCAAACACATTTTTGAGGTACCCCTCAATTATCTAAAAATCCATTTTACTGCTTCCCAGTGAACCTTCCCTGGATTAGAAAGAAATCTGCTCACTACACCAACTGCATGAGCAATGTCAGGCCTTGTACAAACCATAAGATACATTAAAGAACCGACTGCAGAAGAATAAGGAATACTAGACATAGCTAGTTGCTCTTCCTTAGACACTGGACAAGATTTCTTACTTAGATGAAAATGGTTGGCAAGTGAACTGCTAACTGATTTAGCATGTTGCATGTTGAATCTACCAAGCACTCGTTCAACATACTTTTCCTGTGACAACCACAGCTTTCCAGCTCTCCTATCTCGGATAATGTCCATACCAAGAATCTGCTTTGCTGGACCTAAATCCTTCATATCAAAGGACTTAGACAATTGTTCTTTCAACCTGCAAACCATACTAGCATCTTGTCCTACAATCAACATATCATCAACATATAATAATAGGATAATGAAGTTACCATTAGGGAATTGTTTAATATACACACAAGAATTCGTTGCTGTTCTTTTATAGCTATGACTCACCATAAAAGAATCAAACTTCTTGTACCACTGTCGCGGAGCTTGTTTCAAGCCATACAAGCTTTTCTTCAATTTACAAACTAAGTGCTCTTTCCCTTTCACTTCAAAACCCTCAGGCTGATTCATATAAATGTCCTCCTGTAAATCACCATGCAAAAATATAGTTTTAACATCAAGTTGCTCAAGCTCAAGATTCAAACTAGCTGCCAATCCCAGTACCACTCGAATAGAACTCATTTTTATAACCGGAGCAAAAATCTCATCAAAATCGATGCCTGGTTTATGAGAAAAACCTTTTACTACCAATCGAGCTTTGTACCTCACTAGTTTGTCACCATCCTTTTTCAACTTGAACACCCATTTATTCTTTAATGGCCTCTTCCTGTTGGAAGTTTAACAGATCATAAAGTACCATTCTTTCGCAATGACTCCATTTCTTCTTTCATTGCTTTTAACCAGTGCTCTCTATCCGGAGTAGCCTGCACATCTTGAAAGCTTTCTGGCTCCCTTTCACTGGTAACTAAAATAAAATCTAAACTTGGATACCTGGTAGATGGCCTGCACTCTCTAGTAGATCTTCTGAGCTGAGACTTTACATCACTTGATGCTGAAGGTAGCTCCCCCTGCTCAACACTCTCAGGTAGAGAGGATTGCTCCCCTTGCTCAAAACTAATAGCATCTGGCTCATCACTAACTATGGTTGGCTCATTCATATCCTCAAGTTCTGTTTCTGACTCATTTTCACCATCTGTGGCTTTTTCTTGTGAAATCCCTGTCGGTGTTGAAACATCACATTCAACAGTAACTCGTGTAGTCTTCTCATTTTTTTCAAGGTCTGCTATAGTTTTTTTTCAAGAAAGACTACATCTCTGCTTCTGACTGTCTTTCTCTTTACTGGATCCCATGCCCTGTAGCCAAATCCCTCATTACCATATCCTACAAACACACACCGTGTAGCTTTACTATCAAGCTTTGACCTCTGCTTTTTTGGTACATGCATGAATGCTTTACACCCAAAAACTTTCAAGTGAGAGTATGAAGCATGTTTCCCTGTCCACACTCTTTCTGGAATGTCAAAGCCCAAAAGAACTGATGGTGACCTGTTAAGTAAATAACAAGCTGTGTTGACTGCTTCACCCCAGAATGGCTTTGGTAATTTTGCCATCTTCAACATACATCTGACTTTTTCCACAATGGTGCGATTCATTCTTTCAGCTATACCATTATGCTGCGGTGTTTCAGGTTCTGTCCTCTCATGCCTGATCCCATGCTTTGAGCAATACTCTTCAAAGCCTTTAGATGTGTATTTCCCACCATTATCAGTTCGAATACACTTCAAGGGTAACCCTGTCATCCTTTCAACCATGGCATGAAATTTTTAAAAATACTACAGTACCTGACTTTTGTATTTCAACATATACACCCAAGTCTTACGTGAAGCATCATCAATAAAAGTAACAAAATATCTGCTACCACCTAATGACTCAACCTCAATGAGACCACATACGTCAGAATAAATTAATTCCAATCTATTTTCTTTTCTCTAAGAACTTTTACGAAAAGAAACTCTATGATGCTTACCAAACAAACAATAATCACATGAATCGAGAGACATACCTTTGGTCAAGGGAATAAGAGAGTGCCTTGCCAAAACCTGTAACCTTTTTTCACTCATGTGTGCCAGCCTCCTGTGCCACAAGTTTGCTGAAGCATCATTTTCAACGGTATTTACCTGGTTACCGTTCAATTGCATCCATGTCTTATACATTGTGCAGCATAGTTTTTCCCTTGCAACTACCATAGATCCTTTGAGAAGCTTCCACTGTCCATTCTTTTATCGGCTTTCATATCCCTCCTTATCAATGATATTAATAGCAAGCAAGTTCATTTTTATATTTGGAATGTGTCTGACATCCCTCAAAGTCAACATGCAGCCTATACTAGTTTGTACAACAATATCATCAATCCCAACAATCTGTGACACCCTCTTGTTTCCCATCTTGGTACAACCAAAGTCTCCTGCTTTGTAAGTTGTAAACAACTCTCTCTTAGGAACACAATGATATGCCGCTCCTGTGTCAACTATCCACTCAATGCCGGGATCACTAACATGATTACAATCACCATGTGTACAAATCAAAGTAACTGAATCACTATCTGAATTCACTGCTGCAACATTACCATCATCTGAACTCTTGTCTTTCTCATCTTTTCGCTCTTACTTCAAGATTCTACAGTTTCGTTTTATATGACCCGCCTTACCACAATGGAAACACTTCACTTTACCTCTAGACTTGGATCTATGTTTAGACTTACCACAGCCTTTTGAGTCCTGACCTTTGTCGATGTTTCTACCTCTGTTCTCTGTGACCAAAGCTTGATTCCCAGGGTCTACATCTTTTTACCTCGCTTCTTCATTAAGCATACTGTCTTTTACCATCTCTAATGTCACCTTATAATCAGGAGCTGAATTAAGAACAGTCACAACTAGAGTATTCCAGCTGTCTGGCAATAAACCCAAAAGAAATAATGCCTTCATTTCATCATCCATCTTAAGTTCTATAGTAGTCATCCGATTAAATATATCTTGAAAATCACTCAAGTGCTCTATAACAGATCGTCCATCCCTATACTGTAAAGTTACAATCTTTTTAACAAGCATAACTTTATTCATACCTGTTTTTCTCTCATACAATGCTGCCAATTTTTTCCAAACAATGTGAGCATCTGATTCCTGCTCTACATGATGGAACACGCTGATATCAACCCATTTTTTGATTGTAGCCAGCGTCTTTCTACCTAGCTTCTTCCAGCTTTCATCTTTCATATCTGCTGGTTTAGCCGAATCACCCAATACTGGCTCATACAAATCTTTGCAGTATAGATGATCCTCCATCATAGGCTTTCAAATTGAATAATTTGATGCTGTCAATTTTATCATGGAACCTGTATCACCCTCCATGATCTCAAACAAAATTTACTTCTATCCTGGGTTACTTTTGTATCGATGTCTCAAAATAACTCTCGCTCTGATACCACTTGTTGCACCTGAAGCAATAATCACAACAATACAGAAGCAATAGACAACAATCAATAATCAAATACGCAGGAAAAATAAAGCACACCAAGATTTACGTGGAAAACCCTCCAGTGTAGAGGGAAAAACCACGGGCCACCAGAAAAATCTTCACTATCAAATAATAGTTATACAAAGTTCTTCTCTAGCTAAAACTAGAGCTAATCAACAACTAGAGAAACAATTGGAGAAATCTCACCAAATAAGTGACTCAACAAATACACCCTGGATTTGTTCCTAGAGAGCTTTAAACCCGATCTTCACCGTTTAGAATGTATAACTCTGAATCATAAACCTCCTGACAAGGTTTCAACTCAATCGGACCACGGATCGACTTTCGTTTAACCAACTCTCCCTTCTCTTTTTTCTCTCTCTACTTTTCCTGGCTTTTTTTCTTTCTCTGCTTGGTTGTCGACACACACCTTAAACAACCCTACCTCTTTTTTATTAAGTAGCTAAGGCTCTGTGTAAAATAAAAGATCAAGGCCCATGGCCTTTACTTGGTCCAAAACCACTTACATGGGACTGGACCCCATTTTTCTAACAAAGACAGCAATGCATTCAACCACTGGTTTATGTGGGTGTCACTGTCAAGTGGAAAGTGATAAATTACTCGAGGAATTGTTCGTCAGAAAGTTATTTTACTAACCATTCCAACTCGAAATCCATGAATCTTTTTACTGCATTTCTATCAAGCAATGTGTTCGAATAGGGCTCACTATACTGTCCAACAAGGGTCAATCCACTTTGTCCCCCTTGTGCTGCTGGTGAACCAAATTCAAACAATAAGTAAACTTGTATATATAAAAGCAGACATATTGGTCCCAAACACTCGGCCCTTTCCCTCCAGATTTCGTTGATCCTTCAATCTGCACTCAGTTTAATTACTTGTGTTATCGTTATAAGAGGGAAATACTGTTACTTGAATCAGTTTAATTGCATCATATATCATTTGATATTCAGTGACATCAGATTTAGCTCACCTGCGCAGCAGCTGTCGATGCTCCAAAAACAAAATCACTTGGAAAGTTGGATCTTTTGACATTCAAATATTCTGTAGAGTTTGATAAAGCTGAGCCTACCCTTTTCTGGGATGCTTGAGTTACTGCATATAGATCAAAATTTAGTGTGTTAGAGATAAACAAGCCAAAAAACAAGTGAAAACAAAAACCATAAGAAAAGCAAGAAAGATGGACAAACTTTGGCCATACATAGACAAGCAGGCAAGCAAAGCAAAGGCAGAGATCCTGATCAAAATCTGCTGACAATTCCCAGCTGATGAAATTGGCAAAATTCTTGACCTTCTAGCCTCTGCTGTTTCTTTAACACGTATAGACAAAGATTCAGCTACTTCCTGAAGGCAAGATTTGAAGGTGCCTTAGCCTTGGGTTTTAAGAGGTGAAGACTGAATCTGTAAAAATACAAGGATTGCACCTCTTTCTTATATACAAGAGAACCCACCAAAACCATCTAAAAAGAAATCTAATTTAATGTTCATTGTTGGCTAAGAATATCAATGTAACAACCATGAATGAAACAATATTCCCACTGATCTTATGTTCATTATGATCGGTGGGAAAAGATTATTATCTTACTATCCCAGACCTTTAATCTTTTTCATCGGTGATCCAAATAAAGTCCAAGCGTCAATTTCTTACCAATTTTATCCCCAAAATAGACCGTTTTGTTATCTATTATATTCAGTGTTTTTCAGTTTCTAGCAATGATCTACATTAAGGGACAGCTATTAGTTTACTTCTTGTTAGAATGTTGAAACAAATCTGTTTGAACTGAAAAGTTTTGTTGATCTTAAAAAAAATAAAACCAACGTTTTTTAATTGATTAATTATTTTATTTTAGGTTAAAAAATGATTAATTATCTGTTTTCTTTCAAAGAAAGATGATCAAATTTAAGAGATAACGTGCCCATAAAATTTAAAGATAGAAAATACTTATTTTTATAATCTAACTAGTTTTTTAATCTGTGCCATGCTCAGAATTTTTGTATTATTTTTCATAATTAAAAATTTTTGTTGTTAATCTTAATTTTTATATTTCCTTAATTAAAGAATATGCAAGCTTTTACTAATTTATTATATATAATCATACATTTTTAAATATTAAAGTACAACTAAATAAGAGTTTATACATATTGTAATACTCTATCAAAGTCAAAAGCTTTTGTGAAATTTCAAAGAACTATAAAAATCTTTTTTTTTTCATAAAAAATTATTTTTTTCAATTCATTTACTATACAATGAAAATTTTGCTGCTCATCTTTTCTTATTCGATTAAAAAGGCAATGTTCAGTTTTAAATAATTAAGATTTTTATTATTGGTTTATATATTTTTTCAAGTGTTAGATATGTTGTTATTTAAGCTTTTGGATTCCTCAAGTAATATTGGTACAATTTCTTTAGGTTTATATTCTTTTTGTGCTCTATTATACTCTTAATTGTGGTTGGATATTTATAATCATTTCACTACCTTTAATAAAATTTAACTTTGGTTTATTAAAAAGAAAATAGTCAAGATTAATAATTATATATATGTTGATATGAATATATAAAAAATATATCATTTTGATTAAATTGTGAAAGACATTTATATTAGCAAAATATTCATAAATTATTAAATCTTATAAAGCTAAACTAGAAATAAAACATTAAATAATAATAATAATAATAATAATAATAATAATAATAATATATTTGATTGAACTACAAAGCATAATTATTAATTTGTTCATAACCATTTGCTTTTTGTTTCTTATTTTTTTTACATATATACATTAACATACATAGTTGTTTTTTATTAGATTATAAACCAAATACACAAATTGATAATTATATATAATTTAGATTTCTTGTACTTATGCATAGCAAATATCTAGTTTAACTATTTATATAAAAACATATTGTAGACACCTAATTTGGTCCAAGTCCGGATCAATTGGGCATGATCCAAATAGGTAGGCTCATTTTTGCTTTTTATTTTGTATTTTATATTTTATTATTTTTATTTTTATTTTATATTTGTGTCTTATGTATTTATTATTACTATTTATTAATATATATATTTTTATTTTTATTATTTTTTTCTTTTCTTTTTCTTTCTTTTCTGTTAATATTTATATATATATATATTTTATTTATCTAGTTATATATTTATTATTATTTATCTATTTATATATTATAATTTATCTATTATTATTTTTAATTTATCTGTTAATATTCTGATTTATCTTATTATTTTCTTTTAATTATCTATTAATATTTTTTATTTGATTTTTATTTTTTTTTTGCTGAGATTGGATTGGTTTGTGGGGAATCCTACCGTGAATAGGGATTCAATCAGAGTCCATATTGGATTCAATGATTGAATCCCAATCCAAAGAGGAGTTTGGATTGATCAGAAACTCTTCTAATCAATCTCTATAAAAAGACCCACGGATCAAAGGAAGAACACAAACAGAGGCAAACACAGAGAAAAAAACGAAGCTAAAAAAAGATTTTTGTGTGTTAGAATAGCATTAGGAATCGGTGAAAATTTTTTTTTGAAAATTTCTGGAAAATTTTCAAATTTCGATTGAATTTTTTCGGCCAAGTTTGAATTTTTCGATCAACTTTCCAGTTTTCGGTGACTATTTCCAGAAATCGATCATTTTCTGACGAACTTTAGGCTAAAAACTCAGATTTTGACGAAAATTTTTAGAATTCGACGAGATTCAATCGAAGTTCTTCGTGGTTTAGAGAGAGGAGAGAGAAAAAGAAGGGAAGAGAGAGAAGAGGATCGGTCTGTTGAAAAAATAAAAGGGATAGCCTTTTATACCTGCTGAAATGACGTCGTTTTGACGTTAATGTGCCCAGAGGATCCGCGTGTTTTGAAGTCAGGTGACTCGATCCGAGCGTCAATCCGCTTTTAACCTGCGTGCGACCTAGGTCTCCGAACAGAGCTGACACCCTTAGCCGCGTCTCCGAGCCATTTTTTCTTCCTCTAGCCGAGTCGAGTCGAGTCGCTAAGCCGAGCCGTTCCCAGGTTTTTTTTTGTTTTTATTTATTATTATTATTATTATTATTATTAGATTAGAATTGTTTAATATTTTTTTATTTTTATTTTATTTTTCTTTATTTTTATTTTCACTTTCATTTTCATTTTATTTTATTATTTTATTTTCTTTAAATAAAATTCAAAAAAATATTTTTGAGAAAAAGTTGAAAGTATCAATTTTCTTTGAAAATAAACTTTCTAAGAAATATTTTTGAGGAAAAGTTGAAAGTATCAATTTTTCTTGAAAATAAGCTTTCTAAAAAAAATATTTTTGAAGAAAAGTTAAAAGTATCAATTTTCCTTGAAAATAAGTTTTCAAAAATGGATTTTTGAGAAAAAGTTGAAAGTATCAATTTTTTTTAGAAATAAATTTTCAAAAGTGAATTTTTGAGGAAAAGTTAAAAATATCAATTTTTCTCGAAATTAAAAGTTTTAAAAAATATTTTTGGGAAAAAATTGAAAGTATCAATTTTTCTTAAAAAGAAGTTTTTAAAAATGGATTTTTGAGAAAAAGTTGAAAGTATCAATTTTCCTCGAAATTAAAGTTTCTAAAAAATATTTTGAGAAAAAGTTGAAAGTATCAATTTTTTCTGTATAAAAGCAATCATTTTTTTCTTTTTTTTTTCTTGAATTTTTTTTAATGTCAAATAATTCGACGATGGAGCCTCTACAAGTGAAACAGTAGTTTTTTCTGCATACTCTTGAGGTGAGAAAATTTTCTCAATTTTTTGCTAAAAGTATTAGAGTCAATTGAGAATAATTTCTAATAATTAATTATTTGGTAAATTTTTAAGGCTTATTGGATAACATAAAATTAAACTAGTACCATCTTTTGATGGGTGTTGTGAGAGTGCTATAACCTTCTTTACACGTAACCAAACTCCCGAACCCTGTTCTGGTTAGTAGACCTCAACTTATTCTTTTAGGGACCCTTAAGCTTAGGTGTTCCCTGAAAGGATAGATTCCTTAGGTGGCCAATCGCGCCTAGATAAAAAAGATTGGTGGCGACTTCTTTAAGTCAATGTCTAGCGATAGATCCCTGGATCTAGATGTTATGACAACTTTAGCGACTCCACTGGGAAAACTTTAAGAGTCAGGCTAGCAAATAAATTTATGTTATCCAAAAGCCTAATAAAATTGAACCTTTTGTATATATTTTATTCATTCATGTTTATTTACTTTATTAATTATGTCATTCATATGCATGTGCATAATATGAGTTCTACACCCGAACTCCATCCTTCTAGGAGGGAGTAAAGTACTTATTGCTTTCGTGAGGTCTAATACCTCCACAGTGGCTAGCGAAATACTCCCACTCAAATTGAACCTTTTTCGCTTGTAACCTGTAATGGGTGAGGATTAGGGTGCCTTACTAGTCTGTGATAGACAAGGATGTAATGAGCAATTTGGGAACCTTTAGACTTTGACCTTAAACCACATATAGTGAACCTTAAGAGTGCCTAACCTATAGATAGAGCCATCACTCTTCCCTTTTAGAATTGACCAAAAGCATATGATTCATTTCTCTTATTCTGTGTGATGTTTAAATTTACTTAGTTATTTATTTATTTCTTTTTTCTGGGCATACTAACCTTTTTTCTCATTCTTCTGCATTGGTTCATGCTCATATCATACAGTTGCATAAAGAACATTTGCTTGAAAGATGATCTTCAACAAAATTTTTTTCATGGACTTCTCTGAACGACTAATTTATTCTTCATCCGTATTAGCACCTTGTGAGACACCCAACGAAGTAAGGGTCTAGTAAAAAAAGATTCAACTAAAGATGAGGAATTGTTTACTAATCGGATATGATTCTACCTTGTCTCAAGAAACATTTATCCTCTTCAAACAGAATAATCTAGAGGATTTGGTTGATATCTGAAAGAAGATGAGTCCGTCAAGACAAGAGCAGTTCTGTCAAAGACATGGACATATAGCACACCTTTTAGCAGTAGTTGTTGATGATCAACTAATCAGAGCTGTAGCATAATTCTGAGATCCTGCATACAAGTGTTTCATCTTTAATGAAGCTAATATGATTCCCACCATCGAAAAATATTTGATTTTATTGGGTTTGCACCTCAAGGCTCCTGATAAGATATATGTCAAAAAACACAAGTCAAGATTTCATAAGGGTTTGGCTCAACTCATGGGGATAGACAAGGAAGTTATGGATTTTCATACAAAGAAGAAACAAAACAGGTTTGCCTACCTTGAAAGTTCTTTCATGAGTTTCTAGTGCAATATGCCAACGAAGAACGGGGGTTAGATATATTTACCTTAGCCATATACGGAATGGTGATCTTTTCAAAGATTTTGGGTTATATTGAGATAGCAGTGGTTGACTTCTTCGAAAGTGTGATCAATGGCTGTAATCTTTTAACGTAATATTAGCAGAGACTATTAGATCTTTAAGT